GGCGGCGCTGTCATGACCAGATGAGGGTGTGATGCTTGAGCCCATCCGAAATGCTGAGACGGCACCAACGTGGACAGGGCAAAATGAGATGACTCCGGTTCTGACGGTCTGAGACGGGGAGGTGGCGCTGTCAGGACCAGGCGGAGATGTGGAGGTGTGGTGCTTCTTAGATGCAGAGAAGGCAGCTCTTACAACAGCGCTTGCTGACAGATTAAAATGACACATGAAGGAAGACACAGACGCAGACCATTACAATCAGCTCTGAGAAGCCTTGATCACAATTTGCAGATCAAGTTTATTTTTCACGGAGCTCAGCCGCAGATTCCTCTTCCAGTCGGCATTCTAGGAATCAAAACAAGGAATCGAAATAAAAAACTTGTAACGATTCTGGGAAAAATGAACAGTTGGAACCGGTTCCAATCGATGCTCGATGCCCAACCCTAGGTAAAAGAGATGTGTGGTGTTAGCTAAAATGATTTCCTTTTGTACTGAGGTGCACCCTGCATATATTGGTACTGGAAATTAAAAGTTAGATCATGTTGGTATATTTGTTAAAAAGCTGACATCAGAGATCCCTAATGTAAGCACATTGATTGTGACATCAGCATAAAAATATGATTTTGGGTTTACCATATTAATTAAATTTGATTCTACACTTGTTTGAGAGGAATGCTGAGTGGCTTCTGTGTCTCTGTGCCCAAGCCAGTACAAATGAACAACATGCACTGACAACCACAAGCCGAGCTCTCCTCTGCTGCTGTGGTCACCCTTAAGTCATTGCACACAGATGGCACAGCAAACAGCTACAGAAGCTGAGTGTGCGACCACCATGCAGAACTATCAGGATCTGTTGACAGAATTATTCCATTGCAAAACACAAAATGAGAAACACAATTGTCCCTCCTGTCCTAACTTCATACTCAGGATTCGACTCGAAACACCAGCTGTGTGGCGTCAACGCTGCTCTGCTCGTGTATGGATCTACTCTGCACATTTGCTTTCTCATCCCACCCAGATCTTTTAAGGCCTCATTCAGATGCTCCATTGTTTCATCACCAGGAGCAACGCTGTATCCCCACATCATCTTCTGAAATCTTTCCAATCACGTGTGCGACTGTTATGTAAAATGAGAAACACGTGTTTGGTGGTGGCTTCAGCAAATCGCTTTAACATAGGATAACGTGCACTTCTTCAGCCTCAACCCTTTTTCTTTGTCCATGTTATGGGGTAGTTTACATAAGAAACTCCCAAATGTCCTGACCATCACTGTACAGATGCTACACACCACCCTGTGCTTCAATAAGCATGACCCAAAGGGCTGACATATGTTAATGAGAATGTTACCACCTGGTCTGAGGCTGGAAGCTGCAGTCTGTAAAAAGCCAGCTGTGGATGTGCTCATGGCCTTGAGACGTGGCCCCAACCAAAAAAGCTTTCGAGGGCTTTACAGGGTGGGACGTCAAATCTGCTAAATAACGCCTGAACATGCGTAATCTCTAGCATATGTGTACCTACGTGCACGGACAATACTTCCTATGACTTTGAAGGCCTTTTAAGTTCCTGTTCAGCATGCTGGTGTGGACATGGTATACAAAATACAATCAAAATGCACTGAAAATGAAGAACCTACTGGTCCACAAATAATAAATTATCTTTATCCCATTAATGACCATTTAATTAAGAGTGATTGCTTACCTTTAACAAGGTAGAGTCTCAGACATCCAAGAATAATCTAAAACAACTGGTTGTCTGCAGTTTATTCAGAACTGAAGGTTCTTCTTGGCGAAAAATCTTCAAGACAACCAGTAGCCCAGCTGTCCATCCAGCCTTCCATTTTTATTCGCTTATCCGGGATCGGGTCGAGAGGACAGTAGCCTAAACAGAGAGGCTCAGACTTCCCTCTCCCCAGCCACTTGGGCCAGCTCCTCCAGGGGAATTCCAAGGTGTTTCCTAGCCAGCTAGAAACATGGACCCTCTATAGCGTGTCCTGGGTCTTTCTTCAGGCGTCCAGAAGGCATCCTAAGTAGATGCCTGAGCCACCTCAACTGACTCCTCTCAATGTAGAGGTGAAGCGTATCTACTCCGAAACACTTAGTTCATGTAATCCTATGTCCCAACGTCCCACTCAGGTGATTCCTGACTGTCTTTGGCTTTTATTTACCTGCTGGGAATGTTTACAAGTCTCAGACACCGCATATCATTTTTCAGGTTCTTCATAATAAAAAATAAAAAAAAAACTCCCAGATGTGTACTCAGCTGCTCTAAAACAAACAATGAGCTAAAAATTCATTTCAACAAAAGAGCAGTGAACTGTGGGGAGCTTCCGGTTCTGAGTGAACATCCTGATCTGAGCTAAGACTCAACCCGGTTTTGGTCACAATACCTCAGTGCCCCAAAGGCTCTCCTATTCTTTGTATTGGAGGGGGGATCCAGCATGCATGTGTCAGTTAGCGTAGGTCTGTGGTAGAAATTGCTGCGCCAAAAAGTAACAGTAAATACGTCACAAGATGATTTGGTCATGATAAATGTGTGAAAGAACATTTTAAAACTACACTTAAATGCATATTAAACACAGCAGTTTGTATGATTCATAAATTGTTTAGTTTAAGTTTCATGCTTTGTTTTTAATATATATGTATATATATTGGGATTCCTATTCTCTTCCTCTTCCTGTGTGACTGGTGGGGCACAACCGGCATAAGGACCGAGGGTGGGAGGGTGTGGGTGTGTGTGTGTGTGTGTGGGTGGGGGGGGGGGGGGGGGGGGGGTGGGGGGGGGGGAGGGGGAGGGGGGGGGTATTCTTTATACTATGTTGTTCTAATGGGAAACGGGCTTCAACACAAACAGTTGTTTTCTGCTTGGTCCTAGAGCTCAACCTGTATCTATGATATAGCTTAATATTGTTTTGGATGGTAAAACGTGCAGGGGTCAAAACTTGACTTTGAACAATGAGTGTGTGTGTGTGGGTGGGGGGGTGGGGGTCATCCATCAGCCTATGGACAAGCCATCACTGACGTCATTCATTATACATCATTATATATCATACTGTGGTTATGCTGTGTCAGTGTGGTTAAAAGTGCTTGGTTTGAAGCAACTGAGATGAGGATCCGCACCTCCAAATCCATGGCCAACGTTCTTGACCAGAAAAGGGTGGATTACCAACTGCTGGTCGGGAGAGAGGTCCTAACATGACAGTCTTTGAGTTTTGTTCGCAAATTGGGTAAGGAGGAAGTGGCAGATTGGCAGGCAGACCTGTAATGAGTCTGTAGTGATGTAACGTCTAAACTGGTTTGCTGTGGTGAAGTAGATGCAAAGCCAATGGGTGATCTGCCTCCTAATCCTCACCTATGATGATGAGCTTTGTGTAATGATCAAAAGAACAAGATCACAGATAGCCACAGGTAGTCAAAAAGATTTTCCTCTGTCAGGTGGCCAGGCTCATTCTTACAGATAGAGAGAAGAGATCGGGCATTTGTGTTACTCAGGGAAGAGTCTCCGCTCCTCCATGGTGAGAGGAGCCAGCTAAGGTGGTTTGGGGATTTGGTAAAGAAACCCCAGGGGAGCAGTTTCATGCTTTTAATTTAATTTTATATTCTGTCAATTCTTTTTCCAAAAGGTGTATCAACATTATTGACAGACTGTGGCTAAATTGTGAGAAACAGAAGGGAACAGGTCTCGACCTTTTGTCCTTCATCACCAGGTCTTCTGGATTTTTCCTATTATTCTAAGACATTGAGTACCATTTTCCAGTTAAATTCTAACAATGCCAGTGAACACACAGCTTCCCAAATTCTGCTTGACAATTTATTTATTTGCCAAGTATTTTCAAGTCAGATTATCTTGAGTTTCCTTAAACACAGTAATAAAGTCTTTGTTTCCAGTGATGGGTCAAAAACCTGCGTTAAGATCAAGCATCCTGTTTTCATGTAGACCTGTGATTCACGCACCATCTATTTATCTTTCAGTTTTTTCTGTTGAAACACAAATTCTTACCAACACGTGCTTGCCAGATTGTTGTGCCGTCTCAAAAGGTCGATTTTTTTGGGGGGGGGGGGGAGTTCTCGTGTACAGTTATCGTGCCATTAAGATTTCAGGGGGAGGGGGTCATGTATTCATGCAGGAGCTGCAGTGACCTTCCCTGGAGTTGTGTAAGATATCCTTTTTTTCTGAGAAGGGGTCCTCATGTTTAAACCCAACCCGGAGTTTCAGGATGCAGTTTAAGTTCAGGTTTGCGGATCATATATCAATGGCACTCTGTGTGTTGTGTCCTCTGGGACTGTACAACTGAACGATGGCCTCAGTAGACGACAACAATTTTCAGTTGTCCTCACTGTAATGACTCCAGTGTCAAGAAATCCTAACTAGAGAATCCTTCTTTTATATTTCCTGGTTTGTCATCTTTCAAAGGAGCAATAAGACAAACAAAATGTTTAGAAGAGGTGGCACAGATTCTCATCAGCTCATGGCTGCTCGCAAGCTTCCCTGGCGCTCCGCTGTCAGTCTTAATCCACTAATGTCTCTGATTCTACTGGTGTCAGTGGAGGCCGCGAGAGACCTACATGAATCGTGGGCTTGAAATACCTTTGCAATGTCAAAATCACAGATGTTTACAGCTAAAGAGGCTTTAAGGAAAAGAAGAAAGACAAGTCAGAATGTTTTCAATAAAAAAATAGTGTACTAATAAAATTTAAGACCAAGAATGGTTAACGGGTGCCAAATTCTAATGAAAATGTCCCTTTTGTCATTTATTCCAATTTGTGTTTGAATATTTCTAACAAATAACAAAAATCCCACCTTTTTAAATATGTTTATCACTTTGAATGATTAGCTGTTGTTTAAATTCCTAAAACTGAGCTGTTCTCTTTTTACTCCCAGGAGAGAGGAGGGGGAGTGTTTCTCATAAGAAGTGCCCAAAGGGACCTAAGAAGCGATGAATGGTGATGGGCTGAGGGGAGGAGGAGTGGTCTCTACCATGCTAGGCAACAATAAAAGGAACTTGTCTGGACCTCTGAGGAGCCCAAATTTTTCAGTAGCACCACAGGCAGCTGCCGCTCAAAGAAGAGAAAAGAAGACGTCTAAGAATTAGAAGAACATTTGTTAAAATCAGTAGTCACATCTAATTTTTTTACTATCACATTTTAAATCTACCTTTCCTTGTATTAAAAGGGATTTTGTTTTGAAAATTAAAAAAGTACAGACAAAGAGAGAGAAAATGATGAGTCTGCTGTGCATCACTGTAATCTCCCTGACCCTGGCTGGCAGAGCGGTCAGTGAAACGACGAGCCCTTACTCAATCCTCAGGGGTAAGTAGATTTCTGAATAATGGTTGTTTTGTTTAATTTGAATGCATATTTCTGTGTACAAGACTATGCATAAAAGAGAGGAAGTAGATGGATCTAAAGTGGTACCACAGCAGGCTTGTGTAACAACAGAGACATTGTAGTAGTGGCTAACAGAGTTGTCTCTGGGGCAACACACATTTCCAGACACACTGTGACTCACCATTGACTCGGTGGCTTGCATACAGACCACCACGGCGTGGAGTGGCTGGTGAATAAATTACCCTGTCATTCAGTGTGGCTTTACTTCACACTAATCCCACTTGTTGTATTGAAAACGGGTTCAAAACTGCCTCAGTGGCTGAAATTGGGCAATTAATGGGGTGTCTGTTAGAGGATGCAAACTTTTCATTAGGTTACACATTTTTATTTTATTTTTGTCTTTGTTTTTTTGCATTTATGTTGCAGAGAGCAAAAGAAAATATTATAACACTGTCATGAGACGATTATCAATTCAAATTCACACCTGCTTGAAAGCTGACACCCTGAAACAGTTGCTGCAGTTGTGGGCTGCCAGAGGAAAACTACAGCTATGGGTGAAATAAGGGAAATAAAAGGACCCTCCAGAAGCCGTCATGTTAAGTAGATTGAGTGACATTTAATACGTTTTCAGGAGCCTGGCAAGCTGATTCAGTTCATGTAAAATTAGGGATTTGTAAGCTGGCTTCCATCCAAGCTGGAGAGGAAACAGCTCCTCTGTGGGGAAGAGAGCTTCACTCTATTAAAGGATTAGGTTTTTTTTTCATACCGTCATTGAAATTTCTCCCACGAACCGGTGATGTCATGTGTATGTGTCCGTATATTAGCCTTAAATGACCCCTCTGTTAGAGTTATGTAAAACATTTGCTCAGCCGAAGCTAAATCCATCATCCAAGTTGCACAATATATTTTGTTTCTGTCATCAGAGCAGGCTGTCTGCTCATGGGGTGTTGCCTGTCCTCAAACTTACCGACTCACTGTAACATTGGGAGCTTTTGGACTGGAGCCATGGCAACAGGCAGTCTGACAAGAGCCAAGGGGAGATTAACGACCCACAGCCAAATGTATAGAGCCCTCATACTGAACAGCAGCCAAATGACTCCGTCTTTCCCTGTGAGGTAACAGTCTGTTAGGTCTAATGCTGACTGTGGCTGTTGGTTACCGAGCTTCGGCTCCGTTCACTCTGGCTCGGTGGGAAAAAAAAAGGGGCCTTGGTTAGAATTGGGCTGAGTTGAAAATGCGTTCAGGCTCAGAAATGAGACAACGATGATGAAGCCACATTTGATGCGTTCATTCATTCAGAATGAAAAAGTTTATGCTAATGACTGTTGACTGTACAATCGGACTCATGGTTGCATACGTGTGTCTGAATAAACACGTTACATACACACACACTGTGTTTGGGATTGTCCAGCATGACAAAAGACAGGAAAGAGTTTATTGGAATCAGGGTGAAGCTCTTGGCCCGAAGTGTTTGTCCCAGCTGTGCTTGTTAAGCCTTTTTCCAAATGGACACAAATGGGCCATCAGAGAAGACTAAAGCTTGGTTTATGCTTGACGCATTCACTTTCCGCGCAGTGATGCGGCTCGCGGATGGAACGCGCTTCACAACTGGCAGCGTTTATGGTTTGTGCGGCTTGTCTCTGCGGTGAGCCAATATTCTCCCAAACTGAACGGGGCAGCATGGAGCTCTACAGCATGCATCCAACACTACACCATAGTAGAAGTAGAAATCACTGTTTACAACATGGTATTTCAGCATTTTTAACAGCGTCCTCGTCTTTTCCGACAGTGCGAGCTATTTCTCTCCAAGAATTATTAATAACATGTTGATCACGGTGATCTCTGAGAGCTGAATCATACAAATGTCTGTATTTACGAACCTCTGCCGTGCCGGTCCGCCATGTTTTTCCGCGTCCGACCGTCCGCGTGGTTAGAAATTTTCCGAGCTGCGCGTTGCGGAAATCTTGGGCCGTGCGGAGACGCGGTGGAGGGGCGTGGTTGTTAAAATGACGCAAAATGACGCAACTTTTCCGCGCGGAGCCGTGCGGACCTCGCGGACGCGTCAAGCATAAACCAACCTTAAAGCCTTGGGAAGTTGTAAGCTGTCTCATGCCTTGCTGGTCTCTCCAAGGGTGTGGCAATCTCACATTTGCATCCTTACACAGGAGGGTGTGGGTTTGGGATTGTAGCCAGAATTGATCAGCAACTCGTAATGCTCAGGGGCCCAACAGCGTAATGGGATGCTTGTAGTTTCAGAATATAGGATGCAGATCAGAGCCTCGGCTCCTGTACGGTTAGTAATTTAAAGTTCAGTGTTGCAAGGAAACAGATGGTTCCAATCATTTGCTAATGCAACTTTTTACAGAGTGAAATAATTGTGCTTGTTAATAAAATGGCTGAAGGGCTTGGCTGCCGCCGTTTTATTCTCATACACATGTGCTCACTTAGTTCTTCTGTTTAATAACCTAACACACTCTTGCAAAATAGATAGTGCTCATTATTTGACTATATACAGTGCTCAGCACAAATGAGTACACCACACTACATTTGTCAGAAAACCTTTAGTTTCCTTTCAGAGTCAACATTTTCTACGAGATTGATTGCAAACTAGATTTATTAATTTGCAAACACACACAAAAAAGTGATTTAATCAAAAAACACTGTGTGTGTATTGTTTTTTTTTTTTACTAAACTCTGTAAATAAAGAACAAAGTAATGGATTATGAAGTTAAAAATAGAACAAACGAACTAAAAACAAAAAAGTGATTTTCCTAACAAATCCATTCAAGCCCATGTTGCAAAAATGAGTGCACCCCAATTATTGTCTTAGGAGAAAAGTCACACTTCAGACTACAAAATTTGAATGAACAGGCATTCAACCACAGGTGAGTCTAATCATTCATTTAAGAGGTGTTCATCAGACAGGTGACTATAAAAGGGTGTTACTTAACAAAGAAAAGCCCTTCCCATTTCATGCTGTTAGCACATGGAAGAGAAATGTCACAAAATCTGAGAAAGGAAATAATTTCTTCACACAAAAATGTGATGGCTACAAGAAGATCAGCAAAGCTTTGCATATCAGTCAAAAGATGGAAGTGCAACTATCTAACAGAGACATCCAGGCCATCCAGGGAAGTTAACATCTTGACAGGAGCGTCTTCTGACAAGAAGGGTTGAAGAAAGTTGCCATGCAAGTTCACTGCAGTTAGCTAAAGTAGTAGAAAGCCAAACTGGAGGGACTGCTTCCAGTGGCACCATCCGGCGCACGCTGCAGAGGAAAGGCAGACATGGATATAGTCCAAGAAGGAAGCCTCTCCTAAAGCCCATACACAAAAAAAGCACACCTAGTCTATGCTAGGGCCCATGCTGAAAGAGATGAAGACTACTGGGGCTCTATACTCTGGAATTATGAGACAATGATCTCTGTTTTAGGAATGAATGGTTTCAAAACTGTATGGCGTTGAAATGGTGAGGATTTCAAAGAGAAACTCATGGTGCCTACTGTGAAACATGGTGGTGGTGGTGTTGTTATGTGGGCTGCATGAGTGCTGCTGGTGTTGGGGAGCTGCATTTCATTGATGCTATCATGAACTCAACAATGTACTGCTCTACTGAAGGAGAAGATGCTGCCATCACACCATGCACATTGTCGTCGTGCTCTTTCCCAGCACAACAATGATCCAAAACACACATCTAAAGGTACTGTTGCATTTCTGAAGAAGAACAGAGTGAAGGTGACTGAATGGCCAAGTATGTCTCCTGATCTGAACCCAATCGAACACCTGTGGGGAATTCTGAAGCAGCAAGTTGAGCATCACTCTCCATCCAGCATCCAGGCTCTAAAATAGGTTCTTCTTGACGAATGGAAAAATGTAGATGTTGCTATATGTCACCAACTTGTTCATTCCATGTCTAGAAGACTTGGAGCTGTCTTTGAAGATCACGGTGGTCATTCAAAATACTAGATGTAGCAATTTTGCTGCAGGGTGTATTCATTTTTGCTTCAACCAATTTTAGCAAAACTGAATATTTTGGGATCTAAACTATATTATTAACCTTAATTTCATGTTATGGAGTTATATATGTGTTCAATAAAACCCAGCCTTATGGAAATTCTGGAAATTGGTCTTTAATTCATTGAGCTACTGAATAAATTTGTACTTTTTAACTCATTCACGGCCAGCTGTTTCCTGATCGCTAAAGCCCTTCGCTGCTGCGTTTCTCGCCATTTTTACTGTTTTTTTAAGAGTCACAGAACGTTGCGCGTTAGGATGATCGACGCCAAAACAACCAAAACAAAGCGGAGACTCACCTCTTACATCAGGAAGAATCTGCGTGTTTCGAGCGTTATCCGTTCTTTCATAATCCGTTGTCGAATGTGATCGGCAGATGCTTTTCCGGTTCGAGCCTCACTTTTTTTTTACAGGATCGGCCCAAAACGATCTAACACATGGATTTTCTGCTTCCTGATCACACAACGTGTGACGTATGCAGATGAAGATCAGCTTCAGAGCTGAGATGTTTGTTCTTTCGGTGCGGGGGCTCGTTCCGATGCCCAAACAGTAAAAAAAAACAATGCAAATGATGACTTTAGGCGTCATTGGCATTGAATGAGTTACAGAGGGTGTACTCACTTATGCTGAAAACTGTATGTGAATGCAAAGTAAGACGATATGTCTTCCTTTGACTAAAGAGAATCACAAGTGGTTTCAGATGTATGAGGGAGAGGAACTGACTCCCTTTTCTTGCTAAAAGACAGCGTGTTACTTTATGAGCATGCCTTCCATGATCAGAGCCACATTCTCTGTAGGGATGATTACAGGAGAAGAAAAGGTGTGGAAGTTGTTCAACAACCCCATTTCTTTGTCTGCTTTGCTTACTTACTCTTAATCCTTCCTTCTGAAAATGTGCCAAAGAAGCTGTTCAATTTCAACATTTATTTAAGGAACACACTTCAAGCATCATGTTCGCTAAGCTACGTTTAACCATGACCTTCACTGTTTCTCATGTTACAAGGTTCCTAACCAAATCCAGTGGCTGGTTTTCTTCTCTAGACAGAACAATGTTTCCATTGGACAACATAAGGAACCAATTTGTCAGCTTTCATTTCATAAATGTCTTTCACAAAAATAAATTGCGGATAGCATCATAGCTGATGAAGTTGACATCGTCTTTTGCGAGCGCCTTGATGAGCAATTTAGTCATTCTGTGTTGCTCAAATGTTTAGTTGCTTCATGCGCTGCTCCTGCTGCCCATGCAGAGAACTTATGAGACAGGAGAAAGTGAGTCATTTTTCACAGGAAAAAAGGGTTAAAAGGATTTATTATCTAAAGTGCTTCTAAAACATGGCACTGCTTTGAAAACATTGGTCATAACGAGAGGCAAGAAGGTGTTACTTAGCTTGTAAAACCCCTGGCATCTTGGTGACCACTTGGAAGGTGAGTGGGGTTATTGAAGTCTGAGATTTGTTATTAGGAGTCACTAACATGCACAAGCTCATGAGTAAAAAGAGAAGTATAAAGTGGGATTGGGCAACAGATTTGACCTGTCAGCAGTGCTTCAGCTTGAACTTTTGGTAAGTGGTGCTTGATCCTATAATATAACACTAAAGGAAATCATGATGTGTATTGTGTCACTAATACAAAACACGGATCAGCTGAGCTGCTAGGAGGCCTCCCAGTCAAATGCCTCCTGCTCACCTTCCTTTGTAAGCTTTCTAGGAGGAAACATTAGGATAATTGCTGTCAGGTTTAGTGTGCAATTCAAATTTAGGAAACAAGCAATGGTGACTTTAAGATCAAATCCACTGAGAAACCATTTTTTACTTATTATTGAAACATGACTGGCCACTCTGGTTTTAACATGCAGGCGGATCATGAAACTAGTCTCCTACACCGTTTTCATGCATTCGTTGCTGATTGAAGTGAAACGCTTGATTAGAAAATCAAGACAGGTATGCGTCACACTGACAAAAAGCATTCGTGGACTCAGCCATCTTGGCTTACGACAGGGAAGGCAGAGCAAGTCTTCACTACTAGAAGCTAACTGTTAGCATTAGCAACTCCACAACATGGCAGAACTCCTTCAGGCTTGAGTTATTTGTGGAGATAAAACGTTAACATTGCAGAGCGAATGAGGCAGTTGAAGAGTTGCGTTGCTGTTAACCAATCACAGTCATGATATTAAAATTTCATGAATAATAACAGATTAAATTCCAAACACCCCACTACTTCAACTGACCACTACTTCCTGAAACAGGAGTGCTAGATATTTTCTCCCCAGAAAACAACTCATAAGACAATCATTCATACTAGAGACCACAGTAAATGTATTGAGATAATGAGTGTATGCCCACGTTCAGCAACAAAACATCACTTTTATTCTTCACAAATTTAGCAAGAGAATTAAAACACAAAGTCAAACTAAAAGTAAGAATTCAAGTGTTGGAACAAAGAGACCAATGCAAACAACCTCAAAGGCTGTGCAAAAACTGGCTCAACAAAACTTAAATCAAACAATTAGGCTTCATGTTTCAGGTTTTGGTCACTCTCAGAAAACAATCAACCTACTTTAATGCATTAAGTTTATTAAGAATACATGTCTTTGTGGTGTCTCACTTAGATGTTTTTATTATAAACATCTCAGCAGGCTAGCAAGCGAGATGCATTCCCCTATATGGGATTCAGTAATGTTGATGAAAAATATGTTAAGAAAAAAAAGTGAATGGGTGGTGTTTAGCTTTTTTTCTCATTTAAACCCAAATTTCAAAACATCTGCAACATGACTTAACATGCTTTGTTCAAAGAGCCAAGTTCAAAGTCTCTGGCCAAGCAGATCTCACTAACCCATTATTGGCAGTAAATAGAACGCCCTTAGTATAAACACGGCTAACGAGCTACAGATGAAACAAATCAAATTGGCAAAATATTCATAAAAAGTGGAATTAAATCTAACTTTCACACAAGAAAACGTATCCCCCCCACCCCGCCAAATAAAACAGGAAATAAACTTCAAACAAAACTTCAAAGCAGATGAGAGTTTGGACATGAGCTTGATAATGGACCTTATCCATCTTCTTTGCTGAGCAACAGTGTTGTTTTGAGCAGAGCAGAAGGCAACAAGCCAGTAGCTCATTTTATTTCTCTCGATACCCATAAGTGGATTCTCTTTCCTTTTGAAAAGCCAGAAAACTCATAATCCAGACAAAGTTCTGGTACGGCACATGGACTCGTATTCTGTTACAGTCTGAAACCTTCCAACAGAAATCAAAGACAGATTTAGCTTTTAGACTCAAATCATTCAGGGTCAGTGCAAAACAGAAGACTAAATAAGAACGTGTCATCTTGCATTTTATTGTCAACATTGATTATGTAAAACCAGATTATCTTTTCAAGTCTTTCTTAGATTTACACGTCTTTACATGGCTGACTGATGCATCCCTAACTAACCTGAGTGTCGCATGGGTATGCTGAAGATGGGGTGGAGCAGGAAGGGGGTCTGGTTCATCCATCCATCCATCTGTAGCTTATTACTGCCTGGCTCAGGCAAACACTCACTGGCTGGGGTCTTCTTAAGTAAGCAAGCTCCGTGAGGTCCAAACATGGAGGTCAGGGAGATGATAGGAAACAATGGTGAGACAGAGATAGCCAGTTACAGCTGAATGGCCTTGGTTGGACATGGAGGACTCATCAGTGCTCTGAGCATGTGAGTCTTGTTATTCTTTTGATGCCTGACATGCTTAACACAAGTCAGATGAAGCAAATTTAAAAAAGTGTTTTGTTATGAATTTTATGCTGAGAAAGTGAAGGACCATTGCCAGAACTCACAAAAAGCAGGAAAGAGAGTGAAGAGGAGGGGTGAAGCAGTGAAGAGGAGGGTTGGCTGTAGAGGCCGAGTACTGGCGGATGCCCAGTTCATTTAATGAACCAAGCTCAAGAACCGTTTGAGAGGTTTATCCAAGTGAATGTTGTCTTAATCACAGCTGCATATGTTTGATGCAAGCACATTTACTTCACAAATGATGCATTAAGATTTTTACGTGCGTAAGTAAATGTCACTAAAATATCGTGATAATTTTTCTTTGCTGTATTCCCGATCAAACCTTCGCCACATCTAGTTTGCAAAAAGGGCACAAATCAAAGACAGAAAAATAACTAGAGACAATTTGGAACAGACACATGCAAAATATTCTAAAAGCAGTACATGAAATCCTTGTGTTACTTTATGTTACCATTAGTAAAAAATGTGTTCTCTTCTTTTCTAGTCAAGGCTGAACTAGGTGGTAACATCACCCTGCCCTGCAGTCTCCTGCCAGACAGCTCCATCTTTGGGAGTTTCAAGGTGAAATGGATCAAAGTGGGAGCCGACGAATCCCTGAACGAGGACGTTTTGATGTCAATGGGACTCCACAAGAGGACTTACGGAAGCTTCGAGGGTCGCATCTTTCTGCAGGAGTTAGACAACCATGATGCCTCCTTGGTAATAAATGATGTCTCCATGGAGGACATGGGAAAATACCGCTGTGAGATAATGGATGGCGTGGAAGATGTCATTCAAGATGTCATCTTAGAGGTGGAAAATGGTCTTTCTGGTGGTAAATAATGCTTTATACTATTAAAATTTTCTCATTTTATAGATTTAATTTAAAAGCTTGTGTTGAATCATACAAATCATCATAAAAGTGACAGTGTTACATTTGGTATATGGTTATACCTTTAAGAGTTTTCATATAGCATCTCTCTCATTCAGGGGTTGTGTTCCCATACTCTCCTCCTATTGGCCGCTACAACCTGAACTTTGATGATGCTGTGCAGGCCTGTGCCGATCAGGGCGCAGAAGTTGCTTCCTTTGAGCAGCTGTTTGCAGCCTGGAAGAGTGGTCTGGACTGGTGCAATGCTGGCTGGCTGAGTGATGGTACAGTGCAGTATCCCATCACCAAACCCAGAGAGCCGTGCGGTGGCTCCAACAACAAACCTGGTCTCAGAAGCTATGGGCGTCGAAACAAGCAGATGAACCGCTTTGATGTGTTCTGCTATGTTCCTGATCTTAAGGGTACGTTTAAACCTTTCTTGGGTTTTCTAAAACATGTCTTTTCATTTTGAATGTATCACGTTAACCTGTAAAAATGCTGTTTTTTCTCATGTCAGGTCATTTCTACTGGCTGGTGCAACCAGAGAGGTTAACCTTTGATGAAGCTGTCCAGGCGTGCATAAACGACAATGCAGAGATCGCCACAGTGAGCCAGATGTTTGCAGCCTGGAAGCTCGAGGCCTACGATCGCTGCGACGCTGGCTGGTTGGCAGATGGAAGCATCCGGTACCCCATTTCCAGGCCCCGCAAGAACTGCAGCCCCACAGAAGCTGCAGTTCGCTTCATTGGATTTCCAAACAAAAACGTCAAGTCTTATGGCGTCTACTGCTTTAAAGCTGAGCAGCAAGAGTAAAGGAAAGTCATCGGGAAACCTCAGTCACCAAAGTGCCACAACAACAGCAATTCAAATCAACAATGAAGCAGATAAGCTTTAGATATAACCTAGAATAAAATGTCCGATGCTGTGACAACACTAAGATACTCAAATCACTATAAACAGAAGAAAATGTTTCTTTTTTATTACTGTTATGTTTGGTTTTCTAGCTGAGCATTCCTAAATCAGACTTTTAGTTAAACAATGAGACTCAAGAGACGCTATTAGTCAGTCAAACAATTAGATAAGAAGTTAATTGTGCTAATGTGCAAAAGATATATGATGCTTTATTAAGTGTTGCACATTTTTTATCAGGCCCATTATTTGACAGTAATGTGATAAACATAAATTGGTTAAATCTGTTGAGCCAGTGTTATACTTATGTTAAGCTGCGTTAAATAAGCAACTGGGAGGTTTAAGGAGGTTAAGCAGATTTTTTTTCTTATATTGATATTTGTTCCTTTTGAAATGCATTTGTTTTCCTTAGAGGAGCTGTGATCAAAGCAACAGCAAGGAAAATAAATGGAGATGTCTTTTTGCGACCTGTTTAGCATTGAACACAATGAATACGTTAAATACTGAAGACGTTTAAATTTTAAATAGTAGTAGAGTTGTATGATTAGGCTAAATGTTGTTTTTGTTTCATTATTTTCACTTTCTTTTTTTAAGATATTCGTTGTAAAGAAAATGTAATTTTCTTCTAATCTGAATTAAAATATTTCCCTGAAAGAATGGCAAAGATAGTTATTCCAGTAAATATACATTAAGTTGTCTCTATTGTTAAATTCCACTCCGTTTCGGAGCAATTTGATAAAGCATTAATCTGAATTTTCTTTTTATTCAATCTTTATTTCTTTAGATGTTTTGGTACGGATGGTCTAATCTATAAAAGTGCTGATGCTATTATAACTAGTCCTGAATGAATGTCTATGTGAGCAATTTGTGACCAAAAGAGCACATAATTTACATAATTGACATAATTTTGAGTTATTCCACAAACTGTAGATACGTTTGTAGCTGTTGCTTACAGAAATATTTAGTTTTTACTATTTTCTTTCTCCTAACTCGTTCTAACCCTGACTAACGACACGTGGTACTTACAGCATATGTGCATCAAACACACTTGCACATAAAACAAATGTAGGTATTATTATATGTTATGTACCTTGTCAACAACGCAGTTCAAAATAAAAATGTCACTTTTTAATCCATTTTTGAAAGTGTTTACTGTCATTAATGAGAACAAGTTGCAGAATGTGGAGATGGAGATTTACAAACAGAAACGTTAATGATTTAAAAGTCCATAGATATCAAATAGAATTGTTTTCATATTTACTATTTCGAGTAATTTTGTGTCGGCCCATAACATAGAAACAAAGTGTATAGATCACTACATGTAAAAGGTTGATGTAGGACAGAAAAATCATGGTTATAACAACTATTTCCCCCACATTAATTAAAACCAGTTAACATGTTTCACAGTTTGAGAGTACAATTAAATGAATGATCCGCTGCTGTCCCTTTTTTTTATTTTTATTTACCGTATTCTGTGTTGACATTTCATGCTGTTCCAATTAGTCAAATGTGGTGAAAACTTTTCAGCAAAGTTTGCCGATGCAATACCGCCCAAGTTCATGTCACACAGTCATCCTTGATTATGTTGCATGACAAAATAATCAATGAAAGATGTAAAAAACTTTAATACAAAATGTTTCTGAGGCCTTTGAGAACAGAGCTGGTTTACATAGACACTAAAAGTTCTGATCCAATCCCAGCAAGACCTGGGAGGTGGTCTCGTTTTTTATTTTTATTTTTTTCTACAGAGACATCTGTAGTTCATGAGTCCAGACTGGGTGTTTTACACTCTTTGGGGTATGTATGAGCAGCCTTTGATCACAAATCTTGTGCAGTGACTTAAGGAGCAGTCACCATTCTAAAGTTATACAAAAATTACAATGACCTACTTAATTATCACCCAGGTAATGCCTGCTGTGCTGGCAATGTCAGTATGAGCCTCAAGTGATGATGCATGCGGAAAGTGTGGTAAGGGATTAGCAGCGAAGGGTACTCAAACCAATTCTGCTTCATACCGAGGGAATTCTTCAGCTTCCTTTATTCACTCCGGCACAGCCTGCTTGACTTTCAAGAGCAGATTCAGTTTACTGACTAGAAAATAAAAATCCTGGTTTTGCAGCATCAGCCAGTAATCCTGGTATCAGTCTGCCAAAATGTACACTCCCATTTCTCATCTGAATTTGAACTGAATGCTGCATTTCTCAGAAAAGGCAGTATTATAATGATGTGCTGCAACATTTTAGTCACAGATACTTCACTAACATCCATAGGTGCTCGTCTAATGGAAGGCTCATGTTTTTTAGTTAAACAGCACAGCCTGCTGGTGAAACCCCTGCCAGGTCAGGGTAACAGGAACCAACATTCCCATTCCCATATCCTCCGTACCTTCAGAGGTCCAAACCAGAAACAAAACAGTCTGTTTTTCTATTCAAAGCAACCAAAACCTTCAAAACTCAAACACCAGGAAAATATCCGTATATTTATTTTGGTTATTTAGTGACATCAAGTGAGGAACAAAAAAAAAATTATCATTTAAAATAAAAACAATTAGAAAAAATCACTAAAATTCCAGACATTCACATTATGAAGTAAATAAAAAAAAACTTGTTATATAAATATAAAATGGTATGATGTGCACAAAAAGGAATGACATTCACAGGCAGACACACAAAGCAAACTTTCTCCAAGAAAAATGCACTTCCATCCACTTGTACACATTATTTGTCAGTGTTACAGAACAATAGTATTATTGTTTATGTAGAACTCTGTATTATTAGATCCGCTGATGCCATTTAAAATGTAAAAAGACAAGTAAATCAGTTATATTATGGATTTTGTTTTCCATCAGCGCTTCATCCTATTTAGACAGTCTGTAAATGCGTTCTGCCCCCCGTCTTATATATAAAAATATATATATGCATGTATAAAGAGCATTGCCAGGCCAACTAAAAGCAACACTCAGCCTGGCAGCATTAAACTCACAAGATCAAAAGCAGCTTGAAAATAAATTAGATGCATTTCTGCCTAAAACAGCTGTTGCGTTCAAGTCTTAGGAGTGTTTCACAAAATACATTCTCTGAACGGATATTTATAAAGGACAAGTTCAGTGATGAAGAGTCCATAACATCAAAAGAAACATGAATATATATATATATATTTAAAAAATAACAGACTCTTCTGTTTGTTTTCATGGGCAGCATTACAAATAATGTAAACATGCTGCACAAGCTAAATGTGAGTCATGCAAAGAGTGGAAAATGCATGAAAATGCATTCTTTCCTTCTTGTATCTTAAAGTAGACACAAACGCTTTGTCAGTGAAAACTGAAGCTTTTGAAATATTTTCTATAAGTGTCTCTCTTAAACAATGTCGCAGCTCAAGTTACAACCAATAACGATGGAAAACAATAAAATCCACCGCAACAAAAGGCTCTCCAGCAGATTTCTGAGCTACTTTCTTGTGATTCATGTGAGATATTGATCTATGCATCTAAAATTGCAGCTTCAAACTGCCTCTGTTGTTACATATGTGAAACACTAAATGTTGAACTGCAGAATTAGTCATTTGCACATTAACTTCAGTTAAATATGCTTAAACATCAGTCTGAACTAAAATGTGAGTATTGTTTTACAGATTTCTTATGAATAAGAAACACTTGCATTGACTTCGAACAGCAGAGTCGGTGTTGGACGATCATGATGAGTGTTTCATAAGAAAAGCTGAGAAATACCCTCCTCTGCTTTAAAGAGCACACTATTAGAGTACTTATTGCTTTTCCAGTAGCCAGCTGAAAGAATTTGTCCACACTGGAGCTGTTACACAACAGCACTCCATTATATAAAAAGTCATTCATTAACATTTAGAAGGCACTTCATAAGAATCCATCGTCAGCCAAACATGCCCCCCAAAATTGACGTTTATCCCCTTGGTTTCTTTTATGAGCCTCTTTTGCGCTTTTTGTCCTTTTCTTTCCACTCAGGCATCAGATGAGTGTTCTCAAGGAAGCCTCGTGGCTTTAAAATCACGGCATCCTCTTCTTTGGTTCAGTTCTGTCTCTTTTCCCTCTATAGCGTGGATGGTGGAGGCGGAAGGCGTCATCGTTCCAGCTTTTGAAATTATTGATGCTGTAGAGACTTTTGTGCTGATGCCTTCTCGTAAATGACCGCTGGTAAGTTGATGCTGGAAAAGATATTATGAGTAATTAGGTTTTCATAATCAAAGAGCACTGTTTATAAGTTTGAAGGGAAAATGTGCTCACGGCTTATGCAGGCGATTTTAGGTAAATCCCATCGTCCATCTCCCCGGCAGCGGATGGTTGGAATGTGCCTCTGAATGAAGCCTGATCGGCACTGGTACCTCACGAGGGAATTTACCTCGTATCTCTCACGCTTCTTACCAAAGGTACGTGTGTTCTCTACCACGGGGGGTTGACTGCAGGCCACTGAAAAACAGACAATTCCATCAACTCTGCATCACAACACTGATTATTTCAGTCAGAATTAGTGAAGACAAACTTCTGTTTGTACCTGTGCCCTTTTTGCAGGTATAAGTCAGGTGATAGTTGCAAGGAACATCGTTCCATTGGCCATCCTCGTGCCATATCATCACCACGCAGTCCTCCCCAGAGGTAAAGAAGCTGTCAGGCTGGTTCGGCCTCCAGTTTTCATATTGCTGCAGAGGAGCAGAGCACAAAAAGTCATGTTAGTTTTAACATGCGCTTGTTTTTAATTTAAATATATCCTACATATATATATATATATATATATATATATATATATATATATATATATATATATATATATATGCTTTGCAACTTTTTCATATTTTTAAATCATTTTCTTGAGCTATGTGCTAAAACGACCCTTTACAGGGTTAATGAAATGTCACTCTAAACCCCACCGCCTTCTGTGACCGCCTTCTGTGACCAGAATATTTCACTTGCAACTTCAGAGTGCTGGTCTGGTCTTTTGGAAAAAAGTGGAGCTGACATGCCTGGCACTGCAGTCTGCTTCCAGCACATTTTCTGCATGTTTTAGATCATGAACACAGCTGATTTGTTTGATTTAATGATGAACTACTCCTCTGGAAACTAATGAAGCCTGGGGAGACATTTCAGCTGTTAGACTGAGGTGTTAAAAAGAGGAACGCACAGCGAGGAGATACATTTTGCTTTTGGTTTCAATGAACAGGCACTAGGAGGTGCTAAAAGCAAGCCAAAACTGCCTAGTCTCCCTTTAAGATGTTAAGGTCAGAAAAAAATTATTACAGAATTTGAGAAAAATAAAGTGTTTACCAAATAATTATTTAACTTATTAAAGCAGCCAAGTTATCCAAAGAATCCTGACCCCCACTTTAAAATGTAACCAAACCCTGAGCTTAAGAAATGGTGACAACACTTTTGGCAGCACAAACTACACCCAAGCCTTTGTGATGACTGGTAATGATAAGCCTCACGTTGCCGTGGAGAAATATTGGTCCACTTTTCTTGATCAAATTGTTTTAATTTGGCCACATTGGTGGTTTCCTGAATGAATGGTCGGTTTGAGGTAAAATAATTCATGATTCCATAAAGTCGTCCACATTATGAAGAAGAAAAGCAATCCCAGACTATCATACTACCACCACCATGTTTGACTGTTAGTATGGTGTTCTCGTTTTGAAACACAGTTTGTTTTATACCAGATTAAACAAAACATTTTCCAAAGAAACACAGCTTTTGTCTCACCTGTTCACAGAATATCTTCCCAAAATTCTTTGAGATTGTTGTAAACGATTTATTGAATGTCAGATGGGACTCTGTGTATTTTTTCTTTTTTTTTGGTCAGTTTAAGTTTTGGGCTTAGAACTATACACAAAGGTCATTATTGCTCATGACCCTAACCCAAACAAAGTGAGGCTTGCAGTGCTGTAGATGGCGTTTGGATTTTTTTTTTCCCCCACAGAGCCAGGTCGGTTTCACTATTTGAAAGCAGTATTTACGTTATTATTGTCTGATGTTATTATTATTAATATTTTTGGGGGGGGCTGATCAAAAATTTTTCAAGCATGAACAAAAATAAAAAGCAAAAGTAAAAGAAACCTATAAGAGGTGAATGGTTTTTGCACATCATTGTACATGCTGATAGCAATGACAGGAGGCATGCTAAAGCCATAGATTTTTTTTTATAAAAAAATATCACATAAGTCTAGCTAATATATAAATGTATTATTTGCAATGAATTTCTTTTCCTCCAACAGAAGATGGAGGAAAAGGCTTCATTGGCTGTCATGTTGTAGACACTGTGCTGTTGATCAAGTTACTTCATTTAAAGTTATGAGAACCGGCTTCAGTGGATGCGTGTTCTTTTAATTAGGCACACAGGTTGACAGCAGCATGAACACACATGGAACATTCCTGCTATACACACACTTCCAAGGAGTGATCCATGAAACACAGGCTGTGTGCTGTAAGAGCAATTAATGTGATTTCATTTTTGTCGAGAAGAGAGAGCAGCTGGATCTCTTACGGGTGGAATGAAAGTCAGATTCACCTCAGATCAATTCTGAAGGAATGTTTAAGATTAGAGTAAGACAAAAATATGATTAAATAGGATTTTAAACTAATCCTACATATATCACTAATGCTTTAATGTTTTTGTTTAGTAATGTTTCTGACTTGTTTTTTTTCCTCCATATTTGTATCAATGACATTACGATGTGACTTTCATCTTCCTGGCATGTTTTACATCAGTGTGTACTTTGTGGAAATAGATCAAAATCTTCCTGATGACATTTCTTCACCAAGTGATGATTTCATGTGTAATTGTAGCCATGATGAAAATAAAGTTCTCCACACCTACAGTAGACGTCACATTCATGCAGCGTACACACAGCTGTAGAGCTGTAGGCCATCTAGGCTTGAACTGATGCTGACTGGAGTCTTTCAGCACATTCTGGGTGCAAACACTTTCTTCAAAGCTATGAAACACCCACTACACACATACACACACTCTCCCCCCTCTAAAACACCTTCCATGATGCCCCTAGGGCCGGTTGCTCTGTCATTACGGTTAATAAACATACACCGGCTTCCTGCTCTACTCGCTTCAGTTTAGCAAATGGTTGACCCATCAACTACCCAGCATGTCTGCATCCTCCTCAAAACAATCAAACTAACTTGGGTCCCCAACCTAAACACACATTAAACCACATTTCAGTGAGTGCCTCTTCTGTTCTCTGCTGTCAACATTAACATTTTTACTTCTTGTCTTCAGGATGAAACAGTTCACAGTAGTTTAAATTGTCTTTTTAGTGATTTGGATCCAACAGAGGTGACCACCCACCCAGACCCCCTAGGGGGGTAATACTGCTGTATCATTTCTTTTCTCAAGCTTACAGCTGAGCACAGGTGCTGTCCATCTGTGTGTCTGTTTGGTGGCCCTGCTTCCTAAGGTTGTGAAGGGCTGGGGGGGGGGGGGGCAGCCTTCTAACCGAGTACACGCTTGCCAAACACAGCTTCACTCAAAACCTCATCACCTCTCAATTGGTCCTAACAGGACCTGTGCTTATCTTTTAACCCTGAGGCTTTAGTTTTCTGCTTCCCCTCAACCTCTGCTGCTGGGGGAGGGGGGTCATCTTTGAAGCAAGGACATCACTCTGAACAGCACAGATGCACATTGTAATTAGACAGTTTTTCCTGTCAAGAGAAGGGAATCTTTAGCAGCTTTGTCCTCTGCAGCAAGCACACACGCATAACCTGTTTCATAAACACTGCATTTGCAAAGATGGTGCATCCCTCTCAAGTTCTACCCATTCTTTATTCTCTGTTTTGTTGAAGCTTGTGATTTTCTGCTGACCAACAACCATTGAATGATTGAGTGGTGCCTTGCAGTATGGTCTACGTCAGTTTTATTGCCAGAGCAGTCACCAGGGCATAGGGATGGGAGGCGGAGGAGAGTGCGTCATGAGAAAGTCGCCAGAGCTTACTTAAAGGATCGACTCTCCCTTGATGATGGCATCTGTCATCTGCATCACTTCCAAATATTTACACTGTCTCTGTTCTGTGTTTGCTGGGACTAAAATATGTGAGAAGGCAAGCTAGCTTACCACGGGGCTGCCATCGGTCCAGCGGAAATCGCTGTCAAACATCTTATCATTTAGGCCAATCCACTGGTAGTCCTGTCCGAGACCTACCAAGAAGGGTTCAGTGAAAAACAACAGATTACACTTCTTCATCACATGTCCTTTTTTTGGCATTTAAGATAAAGTACAAGAAAAAGACAATGATAACTTCAATGCAGGAACACTTTCCTGCACTTAATGTACAACATTTTTTCGTGGCTTTATCTCTCAATTTGTTTTGTTTCAGTTTTATCACTTTTATCAAAGAACAATTTAGGCATGTTCCTGTGCTTATTGGTGATTGTCACCATTCTAAACTCACGGTTGACAAACTGTTGCTCCTCGTGGGAAAGCACGCTGCTTAGATGAGCCCCCTGAATGCGACACTCTCTCTCTGCTGAGTCCCAGGTTTTCCGGTGAGGGAAGTACTTGTAGCAGTGTCCCTGGAACTTATGCCAGCCGTAATCACAGGTTTCAGTATCTGGCGGAAGAGGAATAGGGAGTAAAACGGATTTAGCTATTGGCTTAAGGGAAAGTGCAGATCTTTTGAAGTGGGGTTTCGTGAACCTAGCCAAAACAGAGCCAGGTAAAAAAAGTCTTAAAATTAGTTCAGTCAGAAATGTTTCACAGTAGTGTATGCATATGCTAATGTATAACTTTAATATAGTCATAAATTTCTCATTTTTTGTTCGTTCTGGCAGACTAAAAGTGACTGAAAAGAACCAATCTGACAGTGTAAAAATAAGACAATACTGTTATTGGCCCAACTCAGACCAGCCAGTAGCTTAGAACAATCCTCCAAACTGGTCATCCAGAGAACTAGCTAAAGCAATTAATACTCTTTCCACATAAAGCCATTTCAAAACTTATGAAATATTCATTTAGACATTGATGTGCATGAAACTAGAACAAATACTTCCTCTCATTAGTATTTTCTATCCAAACACCACTTTTATTTAGCACCATAACTTTGTGTACGTCATCTAATCCATCTCATCTAGACTAGTCTTCACAGTTTTTCTTTTAGTTTTCTTTAATAGCGTCTTTAAGTAAAAAAAATAAAATAAAGGAAAACTGATGGAGTTATCACTTTTGCCTCCAGCAGCAGCATTTCATTGCTGAAATTAGTGTAAACTTTACTGGTGAACTTCAGAAGATATTTTTATTTGAAAATATGGAATAAGATTTACAATGCTATTGCACATCTAACAATGTTTGAAATTTTCTGGAATATAAGGTTTGAGCAACTATATGGAGGAGCAATTACAAAAACACAACAATATGTTTAAATGCAGTAAAAAAATGTGACAAAAACAGGAGAGGATTATTGGACTGAGTTTGTTACTCCTTATACTGATCTGTTTTTGGCAACACTCACACACAATATGGGTGGGATTCCCTTATGAGCCATTCAAACAAAATTCAGGGCGTAGTTGAGAGCCATACGCCAAGTCTATGTTGAACTACGAAACATGGATACCAGCTAGTAGCCAGAGTTTAAAGACATTCTTCGGCAAAAATATTTAGCAAGAATATTAAAATGATCCAAAGACGATTTGCTACATGGTAAAAATCTTATTTATTGCTTAGGAAGTGAGTAAACCGATTTCTAAATAAAAGTTGTAGGTAAAGTAAAAGTTGGTTGAATTGTCTAAATGCTAAAAATAAGTTTCAATGCATCCTTTCATTTCCTTGGCACAGGGTGGTGTAAATGGACTAAACACTCCCTCGCATAACGGAAAGAAATAATTCTAAGAAATTTACTGCCACTACAACACTTACAGCAACATTGACAAATTTTCAATTACACCATTTGTGAAGATAAATATGAGGATGAGACATCTGGTAGGGATTTGTGTGTGTGTGTGGGTGTGTGTGTGATATATATATATATATATATATATATATATATATATATATATATATAGAGAGAGAGAGAGAGAGAGAGAGAGAGAGAGAGAGAGAGAGAGAGAGAGAGAGAGAGAGAGAGAAATGGGGGGAAATGCTAGGGCTCATAGCAAATCCCTAAAAAATCTTTAAGGACAGAAAGTGTTCTGCTGCTCGCTGTAGCATCAGATGGCTTGGCCATCATGGCATTTAAAGCTCTAGACCGGGGTCGGCAACCCGCGGCTCTTCCATCCATCTGATGCGGCTCTCTGTGCTTGTAAAATAATGAATGGATATTTAAATAAAATGCTTTGTATTTTACTGCATTAGTTTTACATCTGTATGCCAATTCTAAATGTAAAGATTGTCTGCGTAAACCTGAACAGTTCCAAACCGGTCTTACTGTGAGACCGGGTTGACGGGTCACGCTTGTGCGTAATCATAGGCGCTTTCTGAGCTGAAGAGGATGTCAGATTCTGGGATTCTCCTCAGACGGCTCCTGGATGTGTCGCCACATTGGAGACAGGAACAAGCACTATTCAGCCAAAGTTTCATAATCAGGGAACATTTTCTAAGTGACAAGTCTAGCTTCAGTCGGAGGAATCTTCCCGCATGCGCTCTGGTTCTGCGATGCGCTCCAAGCCCCTCTCCACATCTTCAGCTCGCTGTGCACCATACGTACACGCTGACTGCGCTGAGCAGTGTCCAGCTCAGATGTTCAGATGGGAATCTTTTCTTGAGTGATTTAGCTACATCTGCGATGTGCGTAGAATAAAATGTCAGTTCATCTGGATGCGTCGGGGTAATTCTTTCTATTCTTTCTCCGTCAAAATAAACAGCCAAATACGGGAACTATCCGTTTAACACAACACAAGCCCTGCTTTTAACTGTTCTGTTTTCTTGTGAAAATTGTTGCAAAGAGATATAATTTAACTTGATTAACACCAGAGCCATATCTCCGTCACTGTAAATGAGGGAAAAACAAATTGATCAGATCCTTTTCTGACCTTCCCCACCTACAAAGTTTAATTACAACAATCAAACGTGACAGAGCCTGGATTTGTATTCTGCACAGTCTAAACATGTTTTAAAAAGAAACATATGACAAAAGTGGCACCTGCTCAGTAAAACCACCAACAGGGTGAAAAATATCAAAATATTGTAGGCAGAGACGGGCTGCAACTTCTGGATCTATTTTATATAAATCGTTTTATCGATTATCGTCTTATGAAAGATAACTTTGACGTACACGAGCGAACGGTACTGGCTGCTGTCAACTGTTGTGACTGGTTAAAGCAGCTCTCTGCTGTCTGAGGGTAGGCCCCGCCCACAACGCCGCGGCTGCTGTGGCTCCCAGTGTTTTCTTTACTGTGGGAAACGGGTAATAATGGCTCTTTGATGGGAACAGGTTGCCGACCCCTGCTCTAGACAGTGGCAAGAAAAATATATTGAAACACATCCTAAAGTATGGTCACAGTAATTTTGCAAGGACACAACTTGGAGCATCACACAACAACATTGTGCACGCTGCCTGTGAAGCGCAGGGCTGCTTCTAGGTGCTCAAGATGTGCATTACTGATCTCTCTCCCTAATCTTTGTACATTTTTGCTTGCTTCATTTCGACACCTTGGCATTTTCCAATCAAGTACAAAAAAGCATTCAGCAAGCTTTTGTCTTAATTATCTAACCACAGCCTTGACATGTTTTCATGTCCGTGTCTGCAACAGTGTTTGAAGACAAATAATTAAATGTGTCTCAAACTGAGGGACCTTTAGAGAATTCCAAGCATTATCTTGCACGACAATGCTTCAGGTAACGCTTTATAGAGTCTGAAAAATGTTTGAGGTGATTAGATAAAACAGCTTTTATTACTCAGCTAATGCTCAGGAGAATAACAATACTCATCTAAAAAGCTTTACTGTAGCCCACAGGTTTGTCTAAAGTTGAAATGACCGACTAGCTACTTTATTCTCAGAGGGTGGGTGAATGATTACATCAAGTGCAAAGAAAAGTTTAAAGTAACATTAAATAGTTGTATTTTTTTAATATATTAAGTTAGGACTTTAACATTGATCTCAGGGGCTGCTGGGTTAGAAACTTGACCATTTTTCTACTTGACACCACTCTTCAGCCCTCTGCTGGCCAGATACTGTATTCAACAGTTTTGTGGAGGGGGTAGACATTCGAGGAGGTGCTCTTATACATGCATTATGGCTGTTAGCTATTTTCTGTGCAGTTAGCTTTTCAGTTTGCTCATTGTCAATAAAAAGCTCAAGAATGAGAAAAAGAAAGTTTTCTTTTCTGTTGGCATCATGGTAGAGCCTGGAAGTAAAAGTAGGAAAATAATGTCTTTGGAGGTGAAGCAAAGAGTTAAAACTAGAGTAAACATTAGTGTGACCTACACTAGTTTTAGAAAGCTGAAAAGGGTTATGAAATCTCAGGCTGATGGTGACCTGGCTTTGTTGTTTCTGGCCTTGTAAGTAATAATATTGTTTGCCCAAAAGTGGGAATATTTTTGATTAGTGGCTTTTTTGGTAAGACTTGGCTTGTGTTAGTTTTAGCTCTTTGGTAGCACTAGCTACAGCAGTGTTGCAGGGGTTGTTTACGGTAATTGTAAGTCCACTTTCAACCAGTAGGGCAGAGGAGCAGGAAACTGCTCTGTGTTATTTTAAAAAAGGGAAAATTTCTAAAATAAAATTCTTATGTCACAAAACATTCAGTAAAGACTGTGTAGATGGATTACTGTATTCAGCTGCAACAGTAATGAATAAAAAATGAAATAGCAAGAAGATCTAAACAAAAAACACCGAGAGACAATTACCTTCTTCACAGTGCAATCCAGAGTAGCTTGGAAGACACACACATGTGAAACTCATTACTCCATCAACACATGTCCCTCCATTGCGGCACGGGTTTGACTGACACTCATCAATCTCTGTGGAGTACACAAGCCCAAAAAGTTGTCATGCATTATTTTTAGCCAACAAATAAATCCACAAGTGAATGTGAGAGGAATAAAATACCTGTTTCGCATTGATGACCAGTGTAACCAGGAGCACAGCTACATGAATAGGCACTACCGGTCTTGTAGCAAGATCCGCCATTGAGACAAACATTCATCGTGCAAGAATAAAGTCCTGGAAAATAAGGACATTAATAATAAATTAATGCATATTCTTAGAATAATTACATATGTTTTTCAGTAATTCAGTAAAATATATTAGAATAAACATACCAGGAATTTCAACAGCCTCGCCAACAACTGTGTGCCCCAGATTCAGTGATGTGGGGTTGGACGTGGTTGTTTCTTCTGCTGCTATTAATTGTGTTATTCCATTGAGCGATGGGTATGTTTTTAAGTCACTGTTCTCATGCTTTCTTTCTTCATGAGAAGATGAACGCGTGGTGGATAAAGATGGAACCGACAAATGGTTTTTTGCTTGTGCTGTTGATGTTGCAATGAACTTTTGATGAGTCCTTGTGGTAGTTTCACTATTGCTTTCATTGATATTGTTCACAATTTCTTGGTCCGAAGCGTGATATGGTCCATCAGTCACAGTCTTTGAAGTTGATGTTGCATTTACCTTAAACACAGTCTGAATTTTATCTGGGGAGAGATTTCCATCTTTAATTCCATCCATTTTTGGTATGCTTGTTATCTGCTCTCCAAATTCACTATCAGAACTAACTGATGAAGTTCCATTACTGTCTGAATCTTTTTCTGAAGGCTGAATTTCAATATTGTCTAAAGATGGGTGAATCTCAGTGGTCTGGGCAATGGGCTTTGATGTAACAAAAACATTACTGTCTGCACTTGGCATTGTGGTTGTACTGAGTTGAGGAACAGATTCAACAATGTTGTTTTTTTTCCCCGAATTATCTGGATAATCATCATCCAAATCATCATCATAAGTATATGGATGTATGGGTTTTTGGCCATTTGTATTAGGGTACGTTATGGTTGTGGTTGATGATACATTGTGAAAAGAATGGTCAGTCTGTGGTTTTCGTGGTTTAATGGTGTCTGACTTCACATGCTCAACTGACTTTTGGGAAGCTGCTGCAGAGTATGTCGGGGAAGCAGTTGTGTGAGACTGGGCCATTTCGTTTGACGTTACTGAAGTTGAGATGACCTTTGAAGTTTGTTCAATGGAAAGGTGTTGACTTGAGATCGTGCTAGTTGAATATTCATTAGCATTGTTTAATTTACTGGTTGCTTTTGTTGAATCATATTTAGGAGATGCTATGGTTAGGGTTGAATATGTGGCTGAATCTGCAAATGTAGGAGTAAAAGTAGTAGTACTTGCAGTCCCTGAACCCTCCAGGTCTTCCTTTATGTCGAAGGGTTGCGTCATTGTAACTGCTATGACACCTGCAGCTTCTTCTGTCTGGACGTTTGGGTAAAGCAAAGATGATGTAACAATGGAGAGAGTATCTACATCAATGATTGTATCATCGTTGGCATTGATTTCTGGTGTGGGACTGTCTGGACTTATATCATCTTTGGCTCTAGACCACTGTTCATCTCTCTCTTTTATTGTGATGGAAGTGCTACTTGATGGCTGAGACATTTTCAGGACCATAGTAGGTGTTCCTTTTTTTAGGTCAGTCTCAACTTGCTTGCTGTTAGAGGTAACAATCTCAACTTGTTGGTCAATAATGCTCTGGTATAGAATGGTGGGTAATGGGATTGACACTGATTGGTTGTCATCTTGCTTTGGCTGACTGGTTTTGATGGCATCCATTCCGGTGGTATGGGAAGTTTTAAAGGGTGATTTTGTGGCTTCCTCATCCAAATTAACTGCTCCAATTGTGGAACTGACCATCATTGCTGGTGGGGGGGTTAACATATCTTTATTATAAATTGACAATATGTCAACTGAGGGAATGTTGTTACTCAAAGCTAGCTCAGTTGGCTTTTTGGTTGCATAAGTGGAAGGAGTCACAGATTCCAAAGCAGAAGGCTGGGAGGTTGCAGACGGGAGAGATGAAAGCCGAAAATTATCATCTGATAAGGGGACCTCTGTGGATGTTGTTGTTCTTCCTGTTTTGAAAGCAGGGGGCACAACAGAATCAGCAGTCTTATCAGCATCTGGGAATGAACGTGTATCTGGTCCACGTGGAGGTGGCTGATTGTAGGGGGTACCAGAAACTTCATCATCTGAAGAAGCATCAATTAAATCTCCACTGCCTGATGCAGAGAAGTAAGTTTGAGTACTGGTCAGATGTGCTGATTGGGCTGAGATTACCATTTTCATATCTGATGTGTTATCAGCCTCACTTGTTTCAACCTCATCTGTTGCAACAATGTATTCATTTTGGGATATTGTGGTCATTTCATTAAGACCAATATAAGGCCCATGTATTTTTTGGCTTAATTGGGACACAAAAGGAACATTAAACTGTGTTTGCATTTCTGCAGTAGTTTCATTTAAGTCTCCAGATATGTCACCTCCTGAGCTCACTATATCAGATATGGATTCAACCAACCCACCGCTTGCTGAGTAATTATAGTCCTCCTCTTCTGTCACTACTGGGACTGTAGAAATTTGAGAAATTATGTCAGGAGTTGGGTTCCAGGTGCTGTCTTCAGGCAGTTTGGTAGTTGAATCTACCAAGGACTTATTATTATTGTGAGAAGCTAATAAACTCTGAAATGTGTCTATACTTGAACCCAAAACAGGTTGTGTGGAAACAGAAACGTTCCCAGGTTTCTCTGGGATAGAAACAGAGGATGAATGAAAATATGTGGGAGAGGAAGACGGAAGTCCCTTGAAAAATGTATTTATAGGTTTTAGACTGCTGTCACTAGTTGTTCTTGTGGTGTCAAATGTAAAAGATGTTGAACCTACTTCATGCATTTTTGGAACCATATCTGAAGAAACTGATGTGGGAATATCTGTGCCGTAAGTTGATGTGGCTGTAGGAACAAGTGTTGTTGAACTATGTCTTGTTTGAGATTTGGTTGGAACAGTAAGTGATGACAACAAGATAAACACTGGAGAAGGAGTGGTAGGTGCTACAGTTGTCCCAGAAGTGGATTGACTAGGGCTGTATCCAGAACTTTTAGCTTCTGTGGTTATGGGTGGTAATGCTGTTTCTGAAGATAACATTGTTGCTGTACTGGCAGATGTAATAGTTGATCTTGTCAGTAGAGTTGGGACTGTGCCATCAAAGACTGTGGATACTGGTGGTTCCATTTGAAGAGACGGCAGTAGTGTCTTATGTGCTTCATGTCCATCTGTTATTCCAGGTGATTTAGCTGTTGGTGCCTCCGAAGTATAAGGAGATGAAGATGAACCTTCGAGAGAAATAGTTGAGCTTAACACAAGTGTGGTTTGGCTTCCTGAGCCCTCTTGATCTAATTGCGCAATGGTAAGGGACTTTTCTGGCATATCTGTAACATAATAACCTGTGGGTGTCATTGTCTTTTCTATGTAGACACTCTCAAAAAGCTCTGCTGGAGGGTTTGTAGTGGTTATGGGTGGTAATGCTGTTTCTGAAGATAACATTGTTGCTGTACTGGCAGATGCACTAGTTGATCTTGTCAGTAGAGTTGGGACTGTGCCATCAAAGACTGTGGATACTGGTGGTTCCATTTGAAGAGACGGCAGTAGTGTCTTATGTGCTTCATGTCCATCTGTTATTCCAGGTGATTTAGCTGTTGGTGCCTCCGAAGTATAAGGAGATGAAGATGAACCTTCGAGAGAAATAGTTGAGCTTAACACAAGTGTGGTTTGGCTTCCTGAGCCCTCTTGATCTAATTGCGCAATGGTAAGGGACTTTTCTGGCATATCTGTAACATAATAACCTGTGGGTGTCATTGTCTTTTCTATGTAGACACTCTCAAAAAGCTCTGCTGGAGGGTTTGTAGTGGTTATGGGTGGTAATGCTGTTTCTGAAGATAACATTGTTGATGTACTGGCAGATGCACTAGTTGATCTTGTCAGTAGAGTTGGGACTGTGCCATCAAAGACTGTGGATACTGGTGGTTCCATTTGAAGAGACGGCAGTAGTGTCTTATGTGCTTCATGTCCATCTGTTATTCCAGGTGATTTAGCTGTTGGTGCCTCCAAAGTATAAGGAGATGAAGATGAACCTTCGAGAGAAATAGTTGAGCTTAACACAAGTGTGGTTTGGCTTCCTGAGCCCTCTTGATCTAATTGCGCAATGGTAAGGGACTTTTCTGGCATATCTGTAACATAATAACCTGTGGGTGTCATTGTCTTTTCTATGTAGACACTCTCAAAAAGCTCTGCTGCAGGGTTTGTAGTGGTTATGGGTGGTAATGCTGTTTCTGAAGATAACATTGTTGATGTACTGGCAGATGCACTAGTTGATCTTGTCAGTAGAGTTGGGACTGTGCCATCAAAGACTGTGGATACTGGTGGTTCCATTTGAAGAGATGGCAGTAGTGTCTTATGTGCTTCATGTCCATCTGTTATTCCAGGTGATTTAGCTGTTGCTGCCTCCGAAGTATAAGGAGATGAAGATGAACCTTCGAGAGAAAGAGTTGAGCTTAACACAAGTGTGGTTTGGCTTCCTGAGCCCTCTTGATCTAATTGCGCAAAGGTAAGGGACTTTTCTGGCATATCTGTAACATAATAACCTGTGGGTGTCATTGTCTTTTCTATGTAGACACTCTCAAAAAGCTCTGCTGGAGGGTTTGTAGTGGTTATGGGTGGTAATGCTGTTTCTGAAGATAACATTGTTGCTTTACTGGCAGATGCACTAGTTGATCTTGTCTGTAGAGTTGGGACTGTGCCATCAAAGACTGTGGATACTGGTGGTTCCATTTGAAGAGACGGCAGTAGTGTCTTATGTGCTTCATGTCCATCTGTTATTCCAGGTGATTTAGCTGTTGGTGCCTCCGAAGTATAAGGAGATGAAGACGAACCTTCGAGAGAAATAGTTGAGCTTAACACAAGTGTGGTTTGGCTTCCTGAGCCCTCTTGATCTAAATGCGCATTGGTAAGGGACTTTTCTGGCATATCTGTAACATAATAACCTGTGGGTGTCATTGTCTTTTCTATGTAGACACTCTCAAAAAGCTCTGCTGGAGGGTTTGAAGTGGTTTTGGGTGGTAATGCTGTTTCTGAAGATAACATTGTTGCTGTACTGGCAGATGCACTAGTTGATCTTGTCAGTAGAGTTGGGACTGTGCCATCAAAGACTGTGGATACTGGTGGTTCCATTTGAAGAGACGGCAGTAGTGTCTTATGTGCTTCATGTCCATCTGTTATTCGAGGTGATTTAGCTGTTGGTGCCTCCAAAGTATAAGGAGATGAAGATGAACCTTCGAGAGAAATAGTTGAGCTTAACACAAGTGTGGTTTGGCTTCCTGAGCCCTCTTGATCTAATTGCGCAATGGTAAGGGACTTTTCTGGCATATCTGTAACATAAGAACCTGTGGGTGTCATTGTTTTTTCTATGTTGACACTCTCAAAAAGCTCTGCTGGAGGGTTTGTAGTTGTTTCTGTGCTGAACAGTGAGGAAGCAAGGGAAGACACCGTTGGTTTGCTGGACAAGACAATTGTATAATCAGCAGACTTTGTTTCATCTGTTTTTGATGATGTTTTTGAAGAGGATGTTACTTCTGCCAAAGAGCTTGCATATGGAAATGAAGCTGCATCAATGACTGACGTGTTTGAGCTCATTGCGCTTGGACTTTCGCTTCCTGAGCCCTCTAGTTCTGCATGGGTTATGGTGGATTTGCCATCAATACTGGTAAAAGGAGATAGTGAAGAAATTGCTGTCTGATCAGTAACAAGATCGTAATCCTTCTCAATGGAAGCTGCTGTTGTCTTTTTGGTGCCAAACAATGAAGACGCTGTAGAAGATGCTGTGTCATTGGTAGATATCTCTGTTGTCTGATCATCTAAACTCTGTGGATATGCTTTGGAAGAAGAAGAATCTTCTATTGCTGTTACAGGTATGCCCTCAATCCTACTACTGACTAAAGCTTGTTGTTTGTCAGAAGTTACTGACAAAAGTTCCTCTGTGCTGTATGGTGGTGATGCTGTGTAGACAGTTGGTTTTGACATTTCACTTGAAGAAGGTATGTGCGATGAAGACATTGCACTGAGTGTTGAATAAGCAGTAGTTGTGGTAATTGATGACTGATCAGTGGTACCATCAACACTGTGTTTTGAAGTCTCTGACTCTGAGGAGATTAAGATAGATGTGTTTGAAGGTTTAAATGTTGAGCCAGTGAGGAATGAAGATGACTCCACATGTGTAGAAGATGCACTACTTGATCTTGTCAGTAGAGTTGGGGCTGTGTCATCAAAGACTGTAGGTACTGATGGTTCCTTTTGAGGAGATGGCAGAATTGTCTTATATGTTTCATGTCCATCTGTTATTCCAGGTGATTTAGCTGTTGGTGCCTCCGAAGTAGATTGAGATGAAGATGAACCTTTGCGAGAAGTAGTTGAGCTTAACACAAGTGTGGTTTGGCTTCCAGAGCCCTCTTGATCTAATTGCGCAATGGTAAGGGACTTTTCTGGCATATTTGTAACATAAGAACCTGTGGGTATCATTGTCTTTTCTATGTAGACACTCTCAAAAAGCTCTGCTGGAGGGTTTGTAGTTGTTTCTGTGCTGAACAGTGAGGAAGCGAGGGAAGACTCCGTTGGTTTGCTGGACATGACATTTGTATAATCAGCAGACTTTGTTTCATCTGTGTTTGATGATGTTTTTGAAGAGGATGTTACTTCTGCCAAAGAGCTTGCATGTGGAAATGAAGATGCATCACTGACTGACATGCTTGAGCTTATTGTGCTTGGACTTTCGCTTCCTGAGCCCTCTAGTTCTGCAAGGGTTATGGTTGATTTGCCATCAATACTGGTGAAAGGAGATAGTGAAGACATTGCTGTCTCATCAGAAACAAGATCGTAATTTTTCTCAATTGAAGCTGCTGTTGTCTTTTTGGTGCTGAACAAAAAAGAAGCTGTAGAAGATGCTGTGTCGTTGGTAGACATCTCTGTTGTCTGATCATCTAAACTCTGTTGATATGCTTTGGAAGAAGAGGAATCTTCTATTGCTGTTACAGGTATGCCCTCAATCCTACTAGTGACTGAAACTTGTAGTTTGTCAGAAGTTACTGACAAAAGTTCCTCTGTGCTGTAAAGTGGTGATGCTGTGTAGACAGTTGGTTTTGACATTTCACTTGAAGAAGGTATGTGCGATGAAGACATCGTACTGAGTGTTGAATAAGCAGTAGTTGTGGTCAATGATGACTGATCTTTGGCACCATCAACACTGTGTTTTGAAGCCTCTGACTCTGAGGAGATTAAGATAGATGTGTTTGAAGGTTTAATTGTTGAGCCAGTGAGGAATGAAGATGACTCCACAAGTGTAGAATATGCACTACTTGATCTTGTCAGTAGAGTTGGGGCTGTGTCATCAAAGACTGTAGGTACTGATGGTTCCTTTTGAGGAGATGGCAGAAGTGTCTTATATGTTTCATGTCCATCTGTTATTCCAGGTGATTTAGCTGTTGGTGCCTCCGAAGTAGATGGAGATGAAGATGAACCTTTGCGAGAAGTAGTTGAGCTTAACACAAGCGTGGTTTGGCTTCCAGAGCCCTCTTGATCTAATTGTGCAATGGTAAGGGACTTTTCTGGCATATCTGTAACATAAGAACCTGTGGGTATCATTGTCTTTTCTATGTAGACACTCTCAAAAAGCTCTGCTGGAGGGTTTGTAATTGTTTCTGTGCTGAACAGTGAGGAAGCGAGGGAAGACTCTGTTGGTTTGCTGGACATGACATTTGTATAATCAGCAGACTTTGTTTCATCTGTTTTTGAAGAGGATTTTACTTCTGCCAAAGAGCTTGCATGTGGAAATGAAGATGCATCACTGACTGACGTGTTTGAGCTCATTGTGCTTGGACTTTCACTTCCTGAGCCCTCAAGTTCTGCAAGGGTTATGGTAGATAGTGAAGACATCACTGTCTCATCAGTAACAAGATTGTAATCCTTCTCAATTGGTCCGGCTGTTGTCTTTTTGGTGCTGAACAATGAATAAGCTGTAGAAGATGCTGTGTCAATGGTAGATATCTCTATTGTCTGATCATCTAAGCTCTGTTGATATGTTTTGGGAGAAGAAGAATCTTCTAATGCTGTTACAGGTATGTCCTCAGTCCTACCAGTGACTGAAGCTTGTTGTTTGTCAGAGGTTACTGACAAAATTTCCTCTGTGCTGTAAAGAGGTGATGCTGTGTAGACAGTTGCTTTTGACATTTCACTTGATGAAGGTATGTGTGATGAAGACATCGTACTGAGTGTTGAATAAGCAGTAGTTGTGCTCATTGATGACTGATCCGTGGCACCATCAACACTGTGTTTTGAAGTCTCTGACTCTGAGGCGATTAAGATAGATGTGCTTGAAGGTTTAACTGTTGAGCCAGTGAGGAATGAAGATGACTCCACAAGTGTAGAAGATGCACTAGTTGATCTTGTCAGTAGAGTTGGGGCTGTGTCATCAAAGACTGTGGATACTGATGGTTCCATTTGAAGAGATGGCAGAAGTGTCTTATTTGTTTCTTGTCCATCTGTTATTCCAGGTGATTTAGCTGTTGGTGCCTCCGAAGTAGATGGAGATGAAGATGAACCTTTGCGAGAAGTAGTTGAGCTTAACACAAGTGTGGTTTGGCTTCCAGAGCCTTCTTGATCTAATTGCGCATTGGTAAGGGACTTTTCTGGCATATTTGTAACATAAGAACCTGTGGGTATCATTGTCTTTTCTACGTAGACACTCTCTAAAAGCTCTGCTGGAGGGTTTGTAGTTTTTTCTATGCTGAACAGTGAGGAAGCGAGGGAAGACTCCGTTGGTTTGCTGGACATGACATTTGTATAATCAGCAGACTTTGTTTCATCTGTTTTTGAAGAGGATTTTACTTCTGCCAAAGAGCTTGCATGTGGAAATGAAGATGCATCACTGACTGACGTGTTTGAGCTCATTGTGCTTGGACTTTCACTTCCTGAGCCCTCAAGTTCTGCAAGGGTTATGGTAGATAGTGAAGACATCACTGTCTCATCAGTAACAAGATTGTAATCCTTCTCAATTGGTCCGGCTGTTGTCTTTTTGGTGCTGAACAATGAATAAGCTGTAGAAGATGCTGTGTCAATGGTAGATATCTCTATTGTCTGATCATCTAAGCTCTGTTGATATGTTTTGGGAGAAGAAGAATCTTCTAATGCTGTTACAGGTATGTCCTCAGTCCTACCAGTGACTGAAGCTTGTTGTTTGTCAGAGGTTACTGACAAAATTTCCTCTGTGCTGTAAAGAGGTGATGCTGTGTAGACAGTTGCTTTTGACATTTCACTTGATGAAGGTATGTGTGATGAAGACATCGTACTGAGTGTTGAATAAGCAGTAGTTGTGCTCATTGATGACTGATCCGTGGCACCATCAACACTGTGTTTTGAAGTCTCTGACTCTGAGGCGATTAAGATAGATGTGCTTGAAGGTTTAACTGTTGAGCCAGTGAGGAATGAAGATGACTCCACAAGTGTAGAAGATGCACTAGTTGATCTTGTCAGTAGAGTTGGGGCTGTGTCATCAAAGACTGTGGATACTGATGGTTCCATTTGAAGAGATGGCAGAAGTGTCTTATTTGTTTCTTGTCCATCTGTTATTCCAGGTGATTTAGCTGTTGGTGCCTCCGAAGTAGATGGAGATGAAGATGAACCTTTGCGAGAAGTAGTTGAGCTTAACACAAGTGTGGTTTGGCTTCCAGAGCCTTCTTGATCTAATTGCGCATTGGTAAGGGACTTTTCTGGCATATTTGTAACATAAGAACCTGTGGGTATCATTGTCTTTTCTACGTAGACACTCTCTAAAAGCTCTGCTGGAGGGTTTGTAGTTTTTTCTATGCTGAACAGTGAGGAAGCGAGGGAAGACTCCGTTGGTTTGCTGGACATGACATTTGTATAATCAGCAGACTTTGTTTCATCTGTGTTTGATGATGTTTTTGAAGAGGATGTTACTTCTGCCAAAGAGCTTGCATGTGGAAATGAAGATGCATCACTGACTGACATACTTGAGCTTATTGTGCTTGGACTTTCGCTTCCTGAGCCCTCTAGTTCTGCAAGGGTTATGGTTGATTTGCCATCAATACTGGTGAAAGGAGATAGTGAAGACATTGCTGTCTCATCAGACACAAGATCGTAATCTTTCTCAATTGAAGCTGCTGTTGTCTTTTTGGTGCTGAACAAAAAAGAAGCTGTAGAAGATGCTGTGTCGTTGGTAGACATCTCTGTTGTCTGATCATCTAAACTCTGTTGATATGCTTTGGAAGAAGAGGAATCTTCTATTGCTGTTACAGGTATGCCCTCAATCCTACTAGTGACTGAAACTTGTTGTTTGTCAGAAGTTACTGACAAAAGTTCCTCTGTGCTGTAAAGTGGTGATGCTATGTAGACAGTTGGTTTTGACATTTCACTTGATGAAGGTATGTGCGATGAAGACATCGTACTGAGTGTTGAATAAGCAGTAGTTGTGGTCAATGATGATTGATCTGTGGCACCATCAACACTGTGTTTTGAAGCCTCTGACTCTGAGGAGATTAAGATAGATGTGTTTGAAGGTTTAATTGTTGAGCCAGTGAGGAATGAAGATGACTCCACAAGTGTAGAAGATGCACTACTTGATCTTGTCAGTAGAGTTGGGGCTGTGTCATCAAAGACTGTAGGTACTGATGGTTCCTTTTGAGGAGATGGCAGAATTGTCTTATATGTTTCATGTCCATCTGTTATTCCAGGTGATTTAGCTGTTGGTGCCTCCGAAGTAGATGGAGATGAAGATGAACCTTTGCGAGAAGTAGTTGAGCTTAACACAAGCGTGGTTTGGCTTCCAGAGCCCTCTTGATCCAATTGCGCAATGGTAAGGGACTTTTCTGGCATATCTGTAACATAAGAACCTGTGGGTATCATTGTCTTTTCTATGTAGACACTCTCAAAAAGCTCTGCTGGAGGGTTTGTAGTTGTTTCTGTGCTGAACAGTGAGGAAGCGAGGGAAGACTCCGTTGGTTTGCTGGACATGACATTTGTATAATCAGCAGACTTTGTTTCATCTGTGTTTGATGATGTTTTTGAAGAGGATGTTACTTCTGCCAAAGAGCTTGCATGTGGAAATGAAGATGCATCACTGACTGACATGCTTGAGCTTATTGTGCTTGGACTTTCGCTTCCTGAGCCCTCTAGTTCTGCAAGGGTTATGGTTGATTTGCCATCAATACTGGTGAAAGGAGATAGTGAAGACATTGCTGTCTCATCAGAAACAAGATCGTAATCTTTCTCAATTGAAGCTGCTGTTGTCTTTTTGGTGCTGAACAAAAAAGAAGCTGTAGAAGATGCTGTGTCATTGGTAGACATCTCTGTTGTCTGATCATCTAAACTCTGTTGATATGCTTTGGAAGAAGAGGAATCTTCTATTGCTGTTACAGGTATGCCCTCAATCCTACTAGTGACTGAAACTTGTTTGTCAGAAGTTACTGACAAAATTTCCTCTGTGCTGTAAAGTGGTGATGCTGTGTAGACAGTTGTTTTTGACATTTCACTTGAAGAAGGTTTGTGCGATGAAGACATCGTACTGAGTGTTGAATAAGCAGTAGTTGTGGTCAATGATGACTGATCTGTGGCACCATCAACACTGTGTTTTGAAGCCTCTGACTCTGAGGAGATTAAGATAGATGTGTTTGAAGGTTTAATTGTTGCGCCAGTGAGGAATGAAGATGACTCCACAAGTGTAGAAGATGCACTACTTGATCTTGTCAGTAGAGATGGGGCTGTGTCATCAAAGACTGTAGGTACTGATGGTTCCTTTTGAGGAGATGGCAGAAGTGTCTTATATGTTTCATGTCCATCTGTTATTCCAGGTGATTTAGCTGTTGGTGCCTCCGAAGTAGATGGAGATGAAGATGAACATTTGCGAGAAGTAGTTGAGCTTAACACAAGCGTGGTTTGGCTTCCAGAGCCCTCTTGATCTAATTGCGCAATGGTAAGGGACTTTTCTGGCATATCTGTAACATAAGAACCTGTGGGTATCATTGTCTTTTCTATGTAGACACTCTCAAAAAGCTCTGCTGGAGGGTTTGTAGTTGTTTCTGTGCTGAACAGTGAGGAAGCGAGGGAAGACTCTGTTGGTTTGCTTGACATGACATTTGTATAATCAGCAGACTTTGTTTCATCTGTTTTTGAAGAGGATGTTACTTCTGCCAAAGAGCTTGCATGTGGAAATGAAGATGCATCACTGACTGACGTGTTTGAGCTCATTGTGCTTGGACTTTCACTTCCTGAGCCCTCAAGTTCTGCAAGGGTTATGGTAGATAGTGAAGACATCACTGTCTCATCAGTAACAAGATCGTAATCCTTCTCAATTGGTCCGGCTGTTGTCTTTTTGGTGCTGAACAATGAATAAGCTGTAGAAGATGCTGTGTCAATGGTAGATATCTCTATTGTCTGATCATCTAAGCTCTGTTGATATGTTTTGGGAGAAGAAGAATCTTCTATTGCTGTTACAGGTATGTCCTCAGTCCTACCAGTGACTGAAGCTTGTTGTTTGTCAGAGGTTACTGACAAAATTTCCTCTGTGCTGTAAAGAGGTGATGCTGTGTAGACAGTTGCTTTTGACATTTCACTTGATGAAGGTATGTGTGATGAAGACATCATACTGAGTGTTGAATAAGCAGTAGTTGTGCTCATTGATGACTGATCCGTGGCACCATCAACACTGTGTTTTGAAGTCTCTGACTCTGAGGCGATTAAGATAGATGTGCTTGAAGGTTTAACTGTTGAGCCAGTGAGGAATGAAGATGACTCCACAAGTGTAGAAGATGCACTAGTTGATCTTGTCAGTAGAGTTGGGGCTGTGTCATCAAAGACTGTGGATACTGATGGTTCCATTTGAAGAGATGGCAGAAGTGTCTTATTTGTTTCTTGTCCATCTGTTATTCCAGGTGATTTAGCTGTTGGTGCCTCCGAAGTAGATGGAGATGAAGGTGAACCTTTGCGAGAAGTAGTTGAGCTTAACACAAGTGTGGTTTGGCTTCCAGAGCCTTCTTGATCTAATTGCGCAATGGTAAGGGACTTTTCTGGCATATCTGTAACATAAGAACCTGTGGGTATCATTGTCTTTTCTATGTAGACACTCTCAAAAAGCTCTGCTGGAGGGTTTGTAGTTGTTTCTGTGCTGAACAGTGAGGAAGCAAGGGAAGACTCCGTTGGTTTGCTGGACATGACATTTGTATAATCAGCAGACTTTGTTTCATCTGTGTTTGATGATGTTTTTGAAGAGGATGTTACTTCTGCCAAAGAGCTTGCATGTGGAAATGAAGATGCATCACTGACTGACATGCTTGAGCTTATTGTGCTTGGACTTTCGCTTCCTGAGCCCTCTAGTTCTGCAAGGGTTATGGTTGATTTGCCATCAATACTGGTGAAAGGAGATAGTGAAGACATTGCTGTCTCATCAGACACAAGATCGTAATCTTTCTCAATTGAAGCTGCTGTTGTCTTTTTGGTGCTGAACAAAAAAGAAGCTGTAGAAGATGCTGTGTCGTTTGTAGACATCTCTGTTGTCTGATCATCTAAACTCTGTTGATATGCTTTGGAAGAAGAGGAATCTTCTATTGCTGTTACAGGTATGCCCTCAATCCTACTAGTGACTGAAACTTGTTGTTTGTCAGAAGTTACTGACAAAAGTTCCTCTGTGCTGTAAAGTGGTGATGCTGTGTAGACAGTTGGTTTTGACATTTCACTTGAAGAAGGTATGTGCGATGAAGACATCGTACTGAGTGTTGAATAAGCAGTAGTTGTGGTCAATGATGACTGATCTGTGGCACCATCAACACTGTGTTTTGAAGCCTCTGACTCTGAGGAGATTAAGATAGATGTGTTTGAAGGTTTAATTGTTGCGCCAGTGAGGAATGAAGATGACTCCACAAGTGTAGAAGATGCACTACTTGATCTTGTCAGTAGGGTTGGGGCTGTGTCATCAAAGACTGTAAGTACTGATGGTTCCTTTTGAGGAGATGGCAGAAGTGTCTTATATGTTTCATGTCCATCTGTTATTCCAGGTGATTTAGCTGTTGGTGCCTCCGAAGTAGATGGAGATGAAGATGAACCTTTGCGAGAAGTAGTTGAGCTTAACACAAGCGTGGTTTGGCTTCCAGAGCCCTCTTGATCTAATTGAGCAATGGTAAGGGACTTTTCTGGCATATCTGTAACATAAGAACCTGTGGGTATCATTGTCTTTTCTATGTAAACACTCTCAAAAAGCTCTGCTGGAGGTTTTGTAGTTGTTTCTGTGCTGAACAGTGAGGAAGCGAGGGAAGACTCTGTTGGTTTGCTGGACATGACATTTGTATAATCAGCAGACTTTGTTTCATCTGTTTTTGAAGAGAATGTTACTTCTGCCAAAGAGCTTGCATGTGGAAATGAAGATGCATCACTGACTGACGTGTTTGAGCTCATTGTGCTTGGACTTTCACTTCCTGAGCCCTCAAGTTCTGCAAGGGTTATGGTAGATAGTGAAGACATCACTGTCTCATCAGTAACAAGATCGTAATCCTTCTCAATTGGTCCGGCTGTTGTCTTTTTGGTGCTGAACAATGAATAAGCTGTAGAAGATGCTGTGTCAATGGTAGATATCTCTATTGTCTGATCATCTAAGCTCTGTTGATAGGTTTTGGGAGAAGAAGAATCTTCTATTGCAGTTACAGGTATGTCCTCAGTCCTACCAGTGACTGAAGCTTGTTGTTTGTCAGAGGTTACTGACAAAATTTCCTCTGTGCTGTAAAGAGGTGATGCTGTGTAGACAGTTGCTTTTGACATTTCACTTGATGAAGGTATGTGCGATGAAGACATTGCACTGAGTGTTGAATAAGCAGTAGTTGTGGTCATTGATGACTGATCCGTGGCACCATCAACACTGTGTTTTGAAGTCTCTGACTCTGAGGCGATTAAGATAGATGTGCTTGAAGGTTTAACTGTTGAGCCAGTGAGGAATGAAGATGACTCCACAAGTGTAGAAGATGCACTAGTTGATCTTGTCAGTAGAGTTGGGGCTGTGTCATCAAAGACAGTGGATACTGATGGTTCCATTTGAAGAGATGGCAGAAGTGTCTTATTTGTTTCTTGTCCATCTGTTATTCCAGGTGATTTAGCTGTTGGTGCCTCCGAAGTAGATGGAGATGAAGATGAACCTTTGCGAGAAGTAGTTGAGCTTAACACAAGTGTGGTTTGGCTTCCAGAGCCTTCTTGATCTAATTGCGCAATGGTAAGGGACTTTTCTGGCATATCTGTAACATAAGAACCTGTGGGTATCATTGTCTTTTCTATGTAGACACTCTCAAAAAGCTCTGCTGGAGGGTTTGTAGTTGTTTCTGTGCTGAACAGTGAGGAAGCGAGGGAAGACTCCGTTGGTTTGCTGGACATGACATTTGTATAATCAGCAGACTTTGTTTCATCTGTGTTTGATGATGTTTTTGAAGAGGATGTTACTTCTGCCAAAGAGCTTGCATGTGGAAATGAAGATGCATCACTGACTGACATGCTTGAGCTTATTGTGCTTGGACTTTCGCTTCCTGAGCCCTCTAGTTCTGCAAGGGTTATGGTTGATTTGCCATTAATACTGGTGAAAGGAGATAGTGAAGACATTGCTGTCTCATCAGACACAAGATCGTAATCTTTCTCAATTGAAGCTGCTATTGTCTTTTTGGTGCTGAACAAAAAAGAAGCTGTAGAAGATGCTGTGTCGTTGGTAGACATCTCTGTTGTCTGATCATCTAAACTCTGTTGATATGCTTTGGAAGAAGAGGAATCTTCTATTGCTGTTACAGGTATGCCCTCAATCCTACTAGTGACTGAAACTTGTTGTTTGTCAGAAGTTACTGACAAAAGTTCCTCTGTGCTGTAAAGTGGTGATGCTGTGTAGACAGTTGGTTTTGACATTTCACTTGAAGAAGGTATGTGCGATGAAGACATCGTACTGAGTGTTGAATAAGCAGTAGTTGTGGTCAATGATGACTGATCTGTGGCACCATCAACACTGTGTTTTGAAGCCTCTGACTCTGAGGAGATTAAGATAGATGTGTTTGAAGGTTTAATTGTTGCGCCAGTGAGGAATGAAGATGACTCCACAAGTGTAGAAGATGCACTACTTGATTTTGTCAGTAGAGTTGGGGCTGTGTCATCAAAGACTGTAGGTACTGATGGTTCCTTTTGAAGAGATGGCAGAAGTGTCTTATATGTTTCATGTCCATCTGTTATTCCAGGTGATTTAGCTGTTGGTGCCTCCGAAGTAGATGGAGATGAAGATGAACCTTTGCGAGAAGTAGTTGAGCTTAACACAAGCGTGGTTTGGCTTCCAGAGCCCTCTTGATCTAATTGCGCAATGGTAAGGGACTTTTCTGGCATATCTGTAACATAAGAACCTGTGGGTATCATTGTCTTTTCTATGTAGACACTCTCAAAAAGCTCTGCTGGAGGGTTTGTAGTTGTTTCTGTGCTGAACAGTGAGGAAGCGAGGGAAGACTCTGTTGGTTTGCTGGACATGACATTTGTATAATCAGCAGACTTTGTTTCATCTGTTTTTGAAGAGGATGTTACTTCTGCCAAAGAGCTTGCATGTGGAAATGAAGATGCATCACTGACTGACGTGTTTGAGCTCATTGTGCTTGGACTTTCACTTCCTGAGCCCTCAAGTTCTGCAAGGGTTATGGTAGATAGTGAAGACATCACTGTCTCATCAGTAACAAGATCGTAATCCTTCTCAATTGGTCCGGCTGTTGTCTTTTTGGTGCTGAACAATGAATAAGCTGTAGAAGATGCTGTGTCAATGGTAGATATCTCTATTGTCTGATCATCTAAGCTCTGTTGATATGTTTTGGGAGAAGAAGAATCTTCTATTGCTGTTATAGGTATGTCCTCAGTCCTACCAGTGACTGAAGCTTGTTGTTTGTCAGAGGTTACTGACAAAATTTCCTCTGTGCTGTAAAGAGGTGATGCTGTGTAGACAGCTGCTTTTGACATTTCACTTGATGAAGGTATGTGTGATGAAGACATCGTACTGAGTGTTGAATAAGCAGTAGTTGTGCTCATTGATGACTGATCCGTGGCACCATCAACACTGTGTTTTGAAGTCTCTGACTCTGAGGCGATTAAGATAGATGTGCTTGAAGGTTTAACTGTTGAGCCAGTGAGGAATGAAGATGACTCCACAAGTGTAGAAGATGCACTAGTTGATCTTGTCAGTAGAGTTGGGGCTGTGTCATCAAAGACAGTGGATACTGATGGTTCCATTTGAAGAGATGGCAGAAGTGTCTTATTTGTTTCTTGTCCATCTGTTATTCCAGGTGATTTAGCTGTTGGTGCCTCCGAAGTAGATGGAGATGAAGATGAACCTTTGCGAGAAGTAGTTGAGCTTAACACAAGTGTGGTTTGGCTTCCAGAGCCTTCTTGATCTAATTGCGCAATGGTAAGGGACTTTTCTGGCATATCTGTAACATAAGAACCTGTGGGTATCATTGTCTTTTCTATGTAGACACTCTCAAAAAGCTCTGCTGGAGGGTTTGTAGTTGTTTCTGTGCTGAACAGTGAGGAAGCGAGGGAAGACTCCGTTGGTTTGCTGGACATGACATTTGTATAATGAGCAGACTTTGTTTCATCTGTGTTTGATGATGTTTTTGAAGAGGATGTTACTTCTGCCAAAGAGCTTGCATGTGGAAATGAAGATGCATCACTGACTGACATGCTTGAGCTTATTGTGCTTGGACTTTCGCTTCCTGAGCCCTCTAGTTCTGCAAGGGTTATGGTTGATTTGCCATCAATACTGGTGAAAGGAGATAGTGAAGACATTGCTGTCTCATCAGACACAAGATCGTAATCTTTCTCAATTGAAGCTGCTGTTGTCTTTTTGGTGCTGAACAAAAAAGAAGGTGTAGAAGATGCTGTGTCGTTGGTAGACATCTCTGTTGTCTGATCATCTAAACTCTGTTGATATGCTTTGGAAGAAGAGGAATCTTCTATTGCTGTTACAGGTATGCCCTCAATCCTACTAGTGACTGAAACTTGTTGTTTGTCAGAAGTTACTGACAAAAGTTCCTCTGTGCTGTAAAGTGGTGATGCTGTGTAGACAGTTGGTTTTGACATTTCACTTGAAGAAGGTATGTGCGATGAAGACATCGTACTGAGTGTTGAATAAGCAGTAGTTGTGGTCAATGATGACTGATCTGTGGCACCATCAACACTGTGTTTTGAAGCCTCTGACTCTGAGGAGATTAAGATAGATGTGTTTGAAGGTTTAATTGTTGCGCCAGTGAGGAATGAAGATGACTCCACAAGTGTAGAAGATGCACTACTTGATCTTGTCAGTAGAGTTGGGGCTGTGTCATCAAAGACTGTAGGTACTGATGGTTCCTTTTGAGGAGATGGCAGAAGTGTCTTATATGTTTCATGTCCATCTGTTATTCCAGGTGATTTAGCTGTTGGTGCCTCCGAAGTAGATGGAGATGAAGATGAACCTTTGCGAGAAGTAGTTGAGCTTAACACAAGCGTGGTTTGGCTTCCAGAGCCCCCTTGATCTAATTGCGCAATGGTAAGGGACTTTTCTGGCATATCTGTAACATAAGAACCTGTGGGTATCATTGTCTTTTCTATGTAGACACTCTCAAAAAGCTCTGCTGGAGGGTTTGTAGTTGTTTCTGTGCTGAACAGTGAGGAAGCGAGGGAAGACTCTGTTGGTTTGCTGGATATGACATTTGTATAATCAGCAGACTTTGTTTCATCTGTTTTTGAAGAGGATGTTACTTCTGCCAAAGAGCTTGCATGTGGAAATGAAGATGCATCACTGACTGACGTGTTTGAGCTCATTGTGCTTGGACTTTCACTTCCTGAGCCCTCAAGTTCTGCAAGGGTTATGGTAGATAGTGAAGACATCACTGTCTCATCAGTAACAAGATCGTAATCCTTCTCAATTGGTCCGGCTGTTGTCTTTTTGGTACTGAACAATGAATAAGCTGTAGAAGATGCTGTGTCAATGGTAGATATCTCTATTGTCTGATCATCTAAGCTCTGTTGATATGTTTTGGGAGAAGAAGAATCTTCTATTGCTGTTACAGGTATGTCCTCAGTCCTACCAGTGACTGAAGCTTGTTGTTTGTCAGAGGTTACTGACAAAATTTCCTCTGTGCTGTAAAGAGGTGATGCTGTGTAGACAGTTGCTTTTGACATTTCACTTGATGAAGGTATGTGTGATGAAGACATCGTACTGAGTGTTGAATAAGCAGTAGTTGTGCTCATTGATGACTGATCCGTGGCACCATCAACACTGTGTTTTGAAGTCTCTGACTCTGAGGCGATTAAGATAGATGTGCTTGAAGGTTTAACTGTTGAGCCAGTGAGGAATGAAGATGACTCCACAAGTGTAGAAGATGCACTAGTTGATCTTGTCAGTAGAGTTGGGGCTGTGTCATCAAAGACTGTGGATACTGATGGTTCCATTTGAAGAGATGGCAGAAGTGTCTTATTTGTTTCTTGTCCATCTGTTATTCCAGGTGATTTAGCTGTTGGTGCCTCCGAAGTAGATGGAGATGAAGATGAACCTTTGCGAGAAGTAGTTGAGCTTAACACAAGTGTGGTTTGGCTTCCAGAGCCTTCTTGATCTAATTGCGCAATGGTAAGGGACTTTTCTGGCATATCTGTAACATAAGAACCTGTGGGTATCATTGTCTTTTCTATGTAGACACTCTCAAAAAGCTCTGCTGGAGGGTTTGTAGTTGTTTCTGTGCTGAACAGTGAGGAAGCGAGGGAAGACTCCGTTGGTTTGCTGGACATGACATTTGTATAATCAGCAGACTTTGTTTCATCTGTGTTTGATGATGTTTTTGAAGAGGATGTTACTTCTGCCAAAGAGCTTGCATGTGGAAATGAAGATGCATCACTGACTGACATGCTTGAGCTTATTGTTCTTGGACTTTCGCTTCCTGAGCCCTCTAGTTCTGCAAGGGTTATGGTTGATTTGCCATTAATACTGGTGAAAGGAGATAGTGAAGACATTGCTGTCTCATCAGACACAAGATCGTAATCTTTCTCAATTGAAGCTGCTGTTGTCTTTTTGGTGCTGAACAAAAAAGAAGGTGTAGAAGATGCTGTGTCGTTGGTAGACATCTCTGTTGTCTGATCATCTAAACTCTGTTGATATGCTTTGGAAGAAGAGGAATCTTCTATTGCTGTTACAGGTATGCCCTCAATCCTACTAGTGACTGAAACTTGTTGTTTGTCAGAAGTTACTGACAAAAGTTCCTCTGTGCTGTAAAGTGGTGATGCTGTGTAGACAGTTGGTTTTGACATTTCACTTGAAGAAGGTATGTGCGATGAAGACATCGTACTGAGTGTTGAATAAGCAGTAGTTGTGGTCAATGATGACTGATCTGTGGCACCATCAACACTGTGTTTTGAAGCCTCTGACTCTGAGGAGATTAAGATAGATGTGTGTGAAGGTTTAATTGTTGCGCCAGTGAGGAATGAAGATGACTCCACAAGTGTAGAAGATGCACTACTTGATCTTGTCAGTAGAGTTGGGGCTGTGTCATCAAAGACTGTAGGTACTGATGGTTCCTTTTGAGGAGATGGCAGAAGTGTCTTATATGTTTCATGTCCATCTGTTATTCCAGGTGATTTAGCTGTTGGTGCCTCCGAAGTAGATGGAGATGAAGATGAACATTTGCGAGAAGTAGTTGAGCTTAACACAAGCGTGGTTTGGCTTCCAGAGCCCTCTTGATCTAATTGCGCAATGGTAAGGGACTTTTCTGGCATATCTGTAACATAAGAACCTGTGGGTATCATTGTCTTTTCTATGTAGACACTCTCAAAAAGCTCTGCTGGAGGGTTTGTAGTTGTTTCTGTGCTGAACAGTGAGGAAGCGAGGGAAGACTCTGTTGGTTTGCTGGACATGACATTTGTATAATCAGCAGACTTTGTTTCATCTGTTTTTGAAGAGGATGTTCCTTCTGCCAAAGAGCTTGCATGTGGAAATGAAGATGCATCACTGACTGACGTGTTTGAGCTCATTGTGCTTGGACTTTCACTTCCTGAGCCCTCAAGTTCTGCAAGGGTTATGGTAGATAGTGAAGACATCACTGTCTCATCAGTAACAAGATCGTAATCCTTCTCAATTGGTCCGGCTGTTGTCTTTTTGGTGCTGAACAATGAATAAGCTGTAGAAGATGCTGTGTCAATGGTAGATATCTCTATTGTCTGATCATCTAAGCTCTGTTGATATGTTTTGGGAGAAGAAGAATCTTCTATTGCTGTTACAGGTATGTCCTCAGTCCTACCAGTGACTGAAGCTTGTTGTTTGTCAGAGGTTACTGACAAAATTTCCTCTGTGCTGTAAAGAGGTGATGCTGTGTAGACAGTTGCTTTTGACATTTCACTTGATGAAGGTATGTGTGATGAAGACATCGTACTGAGTGTTGAATAAGCAGTAGTTGTGCTCATTGATGACTGATCCGTGGCACCATCAACACTGTGTTTTGAAGTCTCTGACTCTGAGGCGATTAAGATAGATGTGCTTGAAGGTTTAACTGTTGAGCCAGTGAGGAATGAAGATGACTCCACAAGTGTAGAAGATGCACTAGTTGATCTTGTCAGTAGAGTTGGGGCTGTGTCATCAAAGACTGTGGATACTGATGGTTCCATTTGAAGAGATGGCAGAAGTGTCTTATTTGTTTCTTGTCCATCTGTTATTCCAGGTGATTTAGCTGTTGGTGCCTCCGAAGTAGATGGAGATGAAGATGAACCTTTGCGAGAAGTAGTTGAGCTTAACACAAGTGTGGTTTGGCTTCCAGAGCCTTCTTGATCTAATTGCGCAATGGTAAGGGACTTTTCTGGCATATCTGTAACATAAGAACCTGTGGGTATCATTGTCTTTTCTATGTAGACACTCTCAAAAAGCTCTGCTGGAGGGTTTGTAGTTGTTTCTGTGCTGAACAGTGAGGAAGCGAGGGAAGACTCCGTTGGTTTGCTGGACATGACATTTGTATAATCAGCAGACTTTGTTTCATCTGTGTTTGATGATGTTTTTGAAGAGGATGTTACTTCTGCCAAAGAGCTTGCATGTGGAAATGAAGATGCATCACTGACTGACATGCTTGAGCTCATTGTGCTTGGACTTTCGCTTCCTGAGCCCTCTAGTTCTGCAAGGGTTATGGTTGATTTGCCATCAATACTGGTGAAAGGAGATAGTGAAGACATTGCTGTCTCATCAGACACAAGATCGTAATCTTTCTCAATTGAAGCTGCTGTTGTCTTTTTGGTGCTGAACAAAAAAGAAGCTGTAGAAGATGCTGTGTCGTTGGTAGACATCTCTGTTGTCTGATCATCTAAACTCTGTTGATATGCTTTGGAAGAAGAGGAATCTTCTATTGCTGTTACAGGTATGCCCTCAATCCTACTAGTGACTGAAACTTGTTGTTTGTCAGAAGTTACTGACAAAAGTTCCTCTGTGCTGTAAAGTGGTGATGCTGTGTAGACAGTTGGTTTTGACATTTCACTTGAAGAAGGTATGTGCGATGAAGACATCGTACTGAGTGTTGAATAAGCAGTAGTTGTGGTCAATGATGACTGATCTGTGGCACCATCAACACTGTGTTTTGAAGCCTCTGACTCTGAGGAGATTAAGATAGATGTGTTTGAAGGTTTAATTGTTGAGCCAGTGAGGAATGAAGATGACTCCACAAGTGTAGAAGATGCACTACTTGATCTTGTCAGTAGAGTTGGGGCTGTGTCATCAAAGACTGTGGGTACTGATGGTTCCTTTTGAGGAGATGGCAGAAGTGTCTTATATGTTTCATGTCCATCTGTTATTCCAGGTGATTTAGCTGTTGGTGCCTCCGAAGTAGATGGAGATGAAGATGAACCTTTGCGAGAAGTAGTTGAGCTTAACACAAGCGTGGTTTGGCTTCCAGAGCCCTCTTGATCTAATTGCGCAATGGTAAGGGACTTTTCTGGCATATCTGTAACATAAGAACCTGTGGGTATCATTGTCTTTTCTATGTAGACACTCTCATAAAACTCTGCTGGAGGGTTTGTAGTTGTTTCTGTGCTGAACAGTGAGGAAGCGAGGGAAGACTCTGTTGGTTTGCTGGACATAACATTTGTATAATCAGCAGACTTTGTTTCATCTGTTTTTGAAGAGGATGTTACTTCTGCCAAAGAGCTTGCATGTGGAAATGAAGATGCATCACTGACTGACGTGTTTGAGCTCATTGTGCTTGGACTTTCACTTCCTGAGCCCTCAAGTTCTGCAAGGGTTATGGTAGATAGTGAAGACATCACTGTCTCATCAGTAACAAGATCGTAATCCTTCTCAATTGGTCCGGCTGTTGTCTTTTTGGTGCTGAACAATGAATAAGCTGTAGAAGATGCTGTGTCAATGGTAGATATCTCTATTGTCTGATCATCTAAGCTCTGTTGATATGTTTTGGGAGAAGAAGAATCTTCTATTGCTGTTACAGGTATGTCCTCAGTCCTACCAGTGACTGAAGCTTGTTGTTTGTCAGAGGTTACTGACAAAATTTCCTCTGTGCTGTAAAGAGGTGATGCTGTGTAGACAGTTGCTTTTGACATTTCACTTGATGAAGGTATGTGTGATGAAGACATCGTACTGAGTGTTGAATAAGCAGTAGTTGTGCTCATTGATGACTGATCCGTGGCACCATCAACACTGTGTTTTGAAGTCTCTGACTCTGAGGCGATTAAGATAGATGTGCTTGAAGGTTTAACTGTTGAGCCAGTGAGGAATGAAGATGACTCCACAAGTGTAGAAGATGCACTAGTTGATCTTGTCAGTAGAGTTGGGGCTGTGTCATCAAAGACTGTGGATACTGATGGTTCCATTTGAAGAGATGGCAGAAGTGTCTTATTTGTTTCTTGTCCATCTGTTATTCCAGGTGATTTAGCTGTTGGTGCCTCCGAAGTAGATGGAGATGAAGATGAACCTTTGCGAGAAGTAGTTGAGCTTAACACAAGTGTGGTTTGGCTTCCAGAGCCTTCTTGATCTAATTGCGCAATGGTAAGGGACTTTTCTGGCATATCTGTAACATAAGAACCTGTGGGTATCATTGTCTTTTCTATGTAGACACTCTCAAAAAGCTCTGCTGGAGGGTTTGTAGTTGTTTCTGTGCTGAACAGTGAGGAAGCGAGGGAAGACTCCGTTGGTTTGCTGGACATGACATTTGTATAATCAGCAGACTTTGTTTCATCTGTGTTTGATGATGTTTTTGAAGAGGATGTTACTTCTGCCAAAGAGCTTGCATGTGGAAATGAAGATGCATCACTGACTGACATGCTTGAGCTTATTGTGCTTGGACTTTCGCTTCCTGAGCCCTCTAGTTCTGCAAGGGTTATGGTTGATTTGCCATCAATACTGGTGAAAGGAGATAGTGAAGACATTGCTGTCTCATCAGACACAAGATCGTAATCTTTCTCAATTGAAGCTGCTGTTGTCTTTTTGGTGCTGAACAAAAAAGAAGCTGTAGAAGATGCTGTGTCGTTGGTAGACATCTCTGTTGTCTGATCAACTAAACTCTGTTGATATGCTTTGGAAGAAGAGGAATCTTCTATTGCTGTTACAGGTATGCCCTCAATCCTACTAGTGACTGAAACTTGTTGTTTGTCAGAAGTTACTGACAAAAGTTCCTCTGTGCTGTAAAGTGGTGATGCTGTGTAGACAGTTGGTTTTGACATTTCACTTGAAGAAGGTATGTGCGATGAAGACATCGTACTGAGTGTTGAATAAGCAGTAGTTGTGGTCAATGATGACTGATCTGTGGCACCATCAACACTGTGTTTTGAAGCCTCTGACTCTGAGGAGATTAAGATAGATGTGTTTGAAGGTTTAATTGTTGAGCCAGTGAGGAATGAAGATGACTCCACAAGTGTAGAAGATGCACTACTTGATCTTGTCAGTAGAGTTGGGGCTGTGTCATCAAAGACTGTAGGTACTGATGGTTCCTTTTGAGGAGATGGCAGAAGTGTCTTATATGTTTCATGTCCATCTGTTATTCCAGGTGATTTAGCTGTTGGTGCCTCCGAAGTAGATGGAGATGAAGATGAACCTTTGCGAGAAGTAGTTGAGCTTAACACAAGCGTGCTTTGGCTTCCAGAGCCCTCTTGATCCAATTGCGCAATGGTAAGGGACTTTTCTGGCATATCTGTAACATAAGAACCTGTGGGTATCATTGTCTTTTCTATGTAGACACTCTCTAAAAGCTCTGCTGGAGGGTTTGTAGTTGTTTCTGTGCTGAACAGTGAGGAAGCGAGGGAAGACTCTGTTGGTTTGCTGGACATGACATTTGTATAATCAGCAGACTTTGTTTCATCTGTTTTTGAAGAGGATGTTACTTCTGCCAAAGAGCTTGCATGTGGAAATGAAGATGCATCACTGACTGACGTGTTTGAGCTCATTGTGCTTGGACTTTCACTTCCTGAGCCCTCAAGTTCTGCAAGGGTTATGGTAGATAGTGAAGACATCACTGTCTCATCAGTAACAAGATCGTAATCCTTCTCAAATGGTCCGGCTGTTGTCTTTTTGGTGCTGAACAATGAATAAGCTGTAGAAGATGCTGTGTCAATGGTAGATATCTCTATTGTCTGATCATCTAAGCTCTGTTGATATGTTTTGGGAGAAGAAGAATCTTCTATTGCTGTTATAGGTATGTCCTCAGTCCTACCAGTGACTGAAGCTTGTTGTTTGTCAGAGGTTACTGACAAAATTTCCTCTGTGCTGTAAAGAGGTGATGCTGTGTAGACAGTTGGTTTTGACATTTCACTTGAAGAAGGTATGTGCGATGAAGACATCGTACTGAGTGTTGAATAAGCAGTAGTTGTGGTCAATGATGACTGATCTGTGGCACCATCAACACTGTGTTTTGAAGCCTCTGACTCTGAGGAGATTAAGATAGATGTGTTTGAAGGTTTAATTGTTGAGCCAGTGAGGAATGAAGATGACTCCACAAGTGTAGAAGATGCACTACTTGATCTTGTTAGTAGAGTTGGGGCTGTGTCATCAAAGACTGTAGGTACTGATGGTTCCTTTTGAAGAGATGGCAGAAGTGTCTTATATGTTTCATGTCCATCTGTTATTCCAGGTGATTTAGCTGTTGGTGCCTCCGAAGTAGATGGAGATGAAGATGAACCTTTGCGAGAAGTAGTTGAGCTTAACACAAGGGTGGTTTGGCTTCCAGAGCCCTCTTGATCTAATTGCGCAATGGTAAGGGACTTTTCTGGCATATCTGTAACATAAGAACCTGTGGGTATCATTGTCTTGTCTATGTAGACACTCTCAAAAAGCTCTGCTGGAGGGTTTGTAGTTGTTTCTGTGCTGAACAGGGAGGAAGCGAGGGAAGACTCTGTTGGTTTGCTGGACATGACATTTGTATAATCAGCAGACTTTGTTTCATCTGTTTTTGATGATGTTTTTGAAGAGGATGTTACTTCTGCCAAAGAGCTTGCATGTGGAAATGAAGATGCATCACTGACTGATGTGTTTGAGCTCATTGTGCTTGGACTTTCACTTCCTGAGCCCTCAAGTTCTGCAAGGGTTATGGTAGATAGTGAAGACATCACTGTCTCATCAGTAACAAGATCGTAATCCTTCTCAATTGGTCTGGCTGTTGTCTTTTTGGTGCTGAACAATGAATGAGCTGTAGAAGATGCTGTGTCAATGGTAGATATCTCTATTGTCTGATCATATAAGCTCTGTCGATATGTTTTGGGAGAAGACGAATCTTCTATTGCTGTTACAGGTATGTCCTCAGTCCTACGAGTGACTGAAGCTTGTTGTTTGTAAGAGGTTACTGACAAAATTTCCTCTGTGCTGTAAAGAGGTGATGCTGTGTAGACAGTTGCTTTTGACATTTCACTTGATGAAGGTATGTGTGATGAAGACATCGTACTGAGTGTTGAATAAGCAGTAGTTGTGGTCATTGATGACTGATCCGTGGCACCATCAACACTGTGTTTTGAAGTCTCTGACTCTGAGGAGATTGAGATTGATGTGTTTGAAGGTTTAGTTGTTGAGCCAGTGAGGAATGAAGATGACTCCACAAGTGTAGAAGATGCACTAGTTGATCTTGTCAGCAGAGTTGGGGCTGTGCCATCAAAGACTGTGGATACTGATGGTTCCTTTTGAAGAGATGGCAGTAGTGTCTTATGTGGTTCATGCCCATCTGTTATTCCAGGTGATTTAACTGTTGGTGCCTCCGAAGTATAAGGAGATGAAGGTGAACCTTTGAGAGAAAGAGTTGAGCTCAACACAAGTGTGGTTTTGCTTCCTGAATACTCTTGATCTAATTGTGCAATGGTAAGGGGCTTTTCTGACATATCTGTAACATAAGAACCTGTGGGTATCATTGTCTTTTCTGTGTAGACACTCTCAAATAGTTCTGCTGGAGGTTTTGTAGTTGTGTCTGTGCTGAGCAGTGAGGAAGCGAGGGAAGACACTGTTGGTTTTCTTGACATGGCAATTGTATAATCAGCAGACTTTGTTTCATCAGTTTTTGATGACGTTTTTGAAGAGGATGTTACTTCTGCCAAAGAGCTTGCTTGTGGAAATGAAGATGCATCACTGACTGACGTGTTTGAGCTCATTGTGCTTGGACTTTCACTTCCTGAGCCCTCAAGTTCTGCAAGGGTTATGGTAGATTTGCCATCAACACTGGTGAAAGGAGATAGTGAAGACATCACTGTCTCATCAGTACCAAGATCGTAATCCTTCTCAATCGGTCCGGCTGTTGTCTTTTTGGTGCTGAACAATGAATAAGCTGTAGAAGAAGCTGTGTCAATGGTAGATATCTCTATTGTCTGATCATCTAAGCTCTCTTGATATGTTTTGGGAGAAGAAGAATCTTCTATTGCTGTTACAGGTATGTCCTCAGTCCTACCAGTGATTGAAGCTTGTTGTTTGTCAGAGGTTACTGACAAAATTTCCTCTGTGCTGTAAAGAAGTGATGCTGTGTAGACAGTTGGTTTTGACATTTCACTTGATGAAGGTATGTGCGATGAAGACATCGTACTGAGTGTTGAATAAGCAGTAGTTGTGGTCATTGATGACTGATCTGTGGCACCATCAACACTGTGTTTTGAAGTCTCTGACTCTGAGGAGATTGAGATAGATGCGTTTGAAGGTTTAATGTTTGAGCCAGTGAGGAATGAAGATGACTCCACAAGTGTAGAAGATGCACTAGCTGATCCTGTCAGTAGAGTTGGGGCTGTGCCATCAAAGACTGTGGATACTGATGGTTCCTTTTGAAGAGATGGCAGTAGTGTCTTATGTGGTTCATGCCCATGTGTTATTCCAGGTGATTTAGCTGTTGGTGCCTCCGAAGTATAAGGAGATGAAGGTGAACCTTTGAGAGAAAGAGTTGAGCTCAACACAAGTGTGGTTTTGCTTCCTGAATACTCTTGATCTAATTGTGCAATGGTAAGGGGCTTTTCTGACATATCTGTAACATAAGAACCTGTGGGTATCATTGTCTTTTCTGTGTAGACACTCTCAAATAGCTCTGCTGGAGGTTTTGTAGTTGTTTCTGTGCTAAACAGTGAGGAAGGGAGGGAAGACACTGTTGGTATTCTTGACGTGGCAATTGTATAATCAGCAGACTTTGTTTCATCAGTTTTTGATGATGTTTTTGAAGAGGATGTTACTTCTGCCAAAGAGCTTGCATGTGGAAATAAAGATGCATCACTGACTGACGTGTTTGAGCTCATTGTGCTTGGACTTTCACTTCCTGAGCCCTCAAGTTCTGCAAGGCTTATGGTAGATTTGCCATCAATACTGGTGAAAGGAGATAGTAAAGACATCACTGTCTCATCAGTAACAAGATCGTAATCCTTCTCAATTGGTCCGGCTGTTGTCTTTTTGGTGCTGAACAATGAATAAGCTGTAGAAGATGCTGTGTCAATGGTAGATATCTCTATTGTCTGATCATCTGAGCTGTGTTGATATGTTTTGGGAGAAGAAGAATCTTCTATTGCTGTTAAAGGTATGTCCTCAGTCCTACCAGTGACTGAAGCTTGTTGTTTGTCAGAGGTTACTGACAAAATTTCCTCTGTGCTGTAAAGAGGTGATGCTGTGTAGACAGTTGGTTTTGACATTTCACTTGATGAAGGTATGTGCGATGATGACATCGTACTGAGTGTTGAATAAGCAGTAGTTGTGGTCATTGATGACTGATCCGTGGCACCATCAACACTGTGTTTTGAAGTCTCTGACTCTGAGGAGATTGAGATTGATGTGTTTGAAGGTTTAGTTGTTGAGCCAGTGAGGAATGAAGATGACTCCACAAGTGTAGAAGATGCACTAGTTGATCTTGTCAGTAGAGTTGGGGCTGTGCCATCAAAGACTGTGGATACTGATGGTTCCATTTGAAGAGTCGGCAGTAGTGTCTTATGTGTTCCATGTCCATCTGTTATTCCAGGCGATTTAGCTGTTGGTGCCTCCGAAGTATAAGGAGATGAAGGTGACCCTTTGAGAGAAAGAGTTGAGCTCAACACAAGTGTGGTTTTGCTTCCTGAATACTCTTGATCTAATTGTGCAATGGAAAGGGGCTTTTCTGGCATATCTGTAACATAAGAACCTGCGGGTATCATTGTCTTTTCTGTGTAGAAACTTTCAAATAGCTCTGCTGGAGGTTTTGTAGTTGTTTCTGTGCTGAACAGTGAGGAAGCGAGGGAAGACACTGTTGGTTTCCTTGACATGGCAATTGTATAATCAGCAGACTTTGTTTCATCAGTTTTTGATGATGTTTTTGAAGAGGATGTTACTTCTGCCAAAGAGCTTGCATGTGGAAATGAAGATGCATCACTGACTGACGTGTAGGACCTCATTGTGCTTGGATTTTCACTTCCTGAGCCCTCAAGTTCGCCAAGGGTTATGGTAGATTTGCCATCAATGCTGGTGAAAGGAGATAGTGAAGACATCACTGTCTCATCAGTAACGAGATCGTAATCCTTCTCAATTGGTCCGGCCGTTGCCTTTTTTGTGCTGAACAATGAAGAAGCTGTAGAAGAAGCTGTGTCAATGGTAGATATCTCTATTGTCTGATCATCTAAGCTCTGTTGATATGTTTTGGGAGAAGAAGAATCTTCTATTGTTGTTACAGGTATGTCCTCAGTCCTACCAGTGACTGAAGCTTGTTGTGTGTCAGAAGTTACTGTCAAAATTTCCTCTGTGCTGTATAGAGATGATGCTGTGTAGACAGTTGGTTTTGACATTTCACTTGAAGGTAAGTGCGATGAAGACATCGAACTGAGTGTTGAATAAGCAGTAGTTGTGGTCATTGATGACTGATCTGTGGCACCATCAACACTGTGTTTTGGAGTCTCTGACTCTGAGGAGATTGAGATAGATGCATTTGAAGGTTTAATTGTTGAGCCAGTGAGGAATGAAGATGACTCCACAAGTGTAGAAGATGCACTAGATGATCTTGTCAGTAGAGTTGGGGCTGTGCCATCAAAGACTGTGGATACTGATGGTTCCTTTTGAAGAGATGGCAGTAGTATCTTATGTGGTTCATGCCCATCTGTTATTCCAGGTGATTTAGCTGTTGGTGCCTCCGAAGTATAAGGAGATGAAGGTGAACCTTTGAGAGAAAGAGTTGAGCTTAACACAAGTGTGGTTTTGCTTCCTGAATACTCTTGATCTAATTGTGCAATGGTAAGGGGCTTTTCTGACATATCTGTAACATAAGAACCTGTGGGTATCATTGTCTTTTCTGTGTAGACACTCTCAAATAGCTCTGCTGGAGGTTTTGTAGTTGTTTCTGTGCTGAACAGTGAGGAAGCGAGGGAAGACACTGTTGGCTTACTTGACATGGCAATTATAGAATCAGCAGACTTTGTTTCATCAGTTTTTGATGATGCTTTTAAAGAGGATGTTACTTCTGCCAAAGAGCTTGCATGTGGAAATGAAGATGCATCACTGACTAACGTGTTTGAGCTCATTGTGCTTGGACTTTCACTTCCTGAGCCCTCAAGTTCTGCAAGGGTTATGGTAGATAGTGAAGACATCACTGTCTCATCAGTAACAAGATCGTAGTCCTTCTCAATTGGTCCGGCTGTTGTCTTTTTGGTGCTGAACAATGAATAAGCTGTAGAAGATGCTGTGTCAATGGTAGATATCTCTATTGTCTGATCATCTAAGCTCTGTTGATAGGTTTTGGGAGAAGAAGAATCTTCTATTGCTGTTACAGGTATGTCCTCAGTCCTACCAGTGACTGAAGCTTGTTGTTTGTCAGAGGTTACTGACAAAATTTCCTCTGTGCTGTAAAGAGGTGATGCTGTGTAGACAGTTGCTTTTGACATTTCACTTGATGAAGGTATGTGCGATGAAGACATCGTACTGAGTGTTGAATAAGCAGCAGTTGTGGTCATTGATGACTGATCCGTGGCACCATCAACACTGTGTTTTGAAGTCTCTGACTCTGAGGAGATTGAGATTGATGTGTTTGAAGGTTTAGTTGTTGAGCCAGTGAGGAATGAAGATGACTCCACAAGTGTAGAAGATGCACTAGTTGATCTTGTCAGTAGAGTTGGGGCTGTGCCATCAAAGACTGTGGATACTGATGGTTCCTTTTGAAGAGTCGGCAGTAGTGTCTTATGTGTTTCATGTCCATCTGTTATTCCAGGTGATTTAGCTGTTGGTGCCTCTGAAGTATAAGGAGATGAAGGTGACCCTTTGAGAGAAAGAGTTGAGCTCAACCCAAGTGTAGTTTTGCTTCCTGAATACTCTTGATCTAATTGTGCAATGGAAAGGGGCTTTTCTGGCATATCTGTAACATAAGAACCTGTGGGTATCATTGTCTTTTCTGTGTAGACACTCTCAAATAGCTCTGCTGGAGGTTTTGTAGTTGTTTCTGTGCTGAACAGTGAGGAAGCGAGGGAAGACACTGTTGGTTTCCTTGACATGGCAACTGTATAATCAGCAGACTTTGTTTCATCAGTTTTTGATGATGTTTTTGAAGAGGATGCTACTTCTGCCAAAGAGCTTGCATGTGGAAATGAAGATGCATCACTGACTGACGTGTATGACCTCATTGTGCTTGGACTTTCAATTCCTGAGCCCTCAAGTTCGCCAAGGGTTATGGTAGATTTGCCATCAATACTGGTGAAAGGAGATAGTGAAGACATCACTGTCTCATCAGTAACAAGATCGTAATCCTTCTCAATTGGTCCGGCCGTTGTCTTTTTTGTGCTGAACAATGAAGAAGCTGTAGAAGAAGCTGTGTCAATGGTAGATATCTCTATTGTCTGATCATCTAAGCTCTGTTGATATGTTTTGGGAGAAGAAGAATCTTCTATTGCTGTTACAGGTATGTCCTCAGTCCTACCAGTGACTGAAGCTTGTTGTTTGTCAGACGTTACTGACAACATTTCCTCTGTGCTGTAAAGAGTTGATGCTGTGTAGACAGTTGGTTTTGACATTTCACTTAATGAAGGTATGTGCGATGAAGACATCGTACTGAGTGTTGAATAAGCAGTAGTTGTGGTCATTGATGACTGATCTGTGGCACCATCAACACTGTGTTTTGAAATCTCTGACTCTGAGGAGATTGAGATAGATGCGTTTGAAGGTTTAGTTGTTGAGCCAGTGAGGAATGAAGATGACTCCACAAGTGTAGAAGATGCACTAGTTGATCTTGTCAGTAGAGTTGGGGCTGTGCCATCAAAGACTGTGGATACTGATGGTTCCTTTTGAAGAGATGGCAGTAGTGTCTTATGTGGTTCATGCCCATGTGTTATTCCAGGTGATTTAGCTGTTGGTGCCTCCGAAGTATAAGGAGATGAAGGTGACCCTTTGAGAGAAAGAGTTGAGCTCAACACAAGTGTGGTTTTGCTTCCTGAATACTCTTGATCTAATTGTGCAATGGAAAGGGGCTTTTCTGGCATATCTGTAACATAAGAACCTGCGGGTATCATTGTCTTTTCTGTGTAGAAACTTTCAAATAGCTCTGCTGGAGGTTTTGTAGTTGTTTCTGTGCTGAACAGTGAGGAAGCGAGGGAAGACACTGTTGGTTTCCTTGACATGGCAATTGTATAATCAGCAGACTTTGTTTCATCAGTTTTTGATGATGTTTTTGAAGAGGATGTTACTTCTGCCAAAGAGCTTGCATGTGGAAATGAAGATGCATCACTGACTGACGTGTAGGACCTCATTGTGCTTGGATTTTCACTTCCTGAGCCCTCAAGTTCGCCAAGGGTTATGGTAGATTTGCCATCAATGCTGGTGAAAGGAGATAGTGAAGACATCACTGTCTCATCAGTAACGAGATCGTAATCCTTCTCAATTGGTCCGGCCGTTGCCTTTTTTGTGCTGAAAAATGAAGAAGCTGTAGAAGAAGCTGTGTCAATGGTAGATATCTCTATTGTCTGATCATCTAAGCTCTGTTGATATGTTTTGGGAGAAGAAGAATCTTCTATTGCTGTTACAGGTATGTCCTCAGTCCTACCAGTGACTGAAGCTTGTTGTTTGTCAGAAGTTACTGTCAAAATTTCCTCTGTGCTGTATAGAGGTGATGCTGTGTAGACAGTTGGTTTTGACATTTCACTTGAAGGTAAGTGCGATGAAGACATCGTACTGAGTGTTGAATAAGCAGTAGTTGTGGTCATTGATGACTGATCTGTGGCACCATCAACACTGTGTTTTGGAGTCTCTGACTCTGAGGAGATTGAGATAGATGCATTTGAAGGTTTAATTGTTGAGCCAGTGAGGAATGAAGATGACTCCACAAGTGTAGAAGATGCACTAGATGATCTTGTCAGTAGAGTTGGGGCTGTGCCATCAAAGACTGTGGATACTGATGGTTCCTTTTGAAGAGATGGCAGTAGTGTCTTATGTGGTTCATGCCCATCTGTTATTCCAGGTGATTTAGCTGTTGGTGCCTCCGAAGTATAAGGAGATGAAGGTGAACCTTTGAGAGAAAGAGTTGAGCTTAACACAAGTGTGGTTTTGCTTCCTGAATACTCTTGATCTAATTGTGCAATGGTAAGGGGCTTTTCTGACATATCTGTAACATAAGAACCTGTGGGTATCATTGTCTTTTCTGTGTAGACACTCTCAAATAGCTCTGCTGGAGGTTTTGTAGTTGTTTCTGTGCTGAACAGTGAGGAAGCGAGGGAAGACACTGTTGGCTTACTTGACATGTCAATTATAGAATCAGCAGACTTTGTTTCATCAGTTTTTGATGATGCTTTTAAAGAGGATGTTACTTCTGCCAAAGAGCTTGCATGTGGAAATGAAGATGCATCACTGACTAACGTGTTTGAGCTCATTGTGCTTGGACTTTCACTTTCTGAGCCCTCAAGTTCGCCAAGGGTTATGGTAGATAGTGAAGACATCACTGTCTCATCAGTAACAAGATCGTAGTCCTTCTCAATTGGTCCGGCTGTTGTCTTTTTGGTGCTGAACAATGAATAAGCTGTAGAAGATGCTGTGTCAATGGTAGATATCTCTATTGTCTGATCATCTAAGCTCTGTTGATAGGTTTTGGGAGAAGAAGAATCTTCTATTGCTGTTACAGGTATGTCCTCAGTCCTACCAGTGACTGAAGCTTGTTGTTTGTCAGAAGTTACTGTCAAAATTTCCTCTGTGCTGTATAGAGGTGATGCTGTGTAGACAGTTGGTTTTGACATTTCACTTGAAGGTAAGTGCGATGAATACATCGTACTGAGTGTTGAATAAGCAGTAGTTGTGGTCATTGATGACTGATCTGTGGCACCATCAACACTGTGTTTTGGAGTCTCTGACTCTGAGGAGATTGAGATAGATGCATTTGAAGGTTTAATTGTTGAGCCAGTGAGGAATGAAGATGACTCCACAAGTGTAGAAGATGCACTAGATGATCTTGTCAGTAGAGTTGGGGCTGTGCCATCAAAGACTGTGGATACTGATGGTTCCTTTTGAAGAGATGGCAGTAGTGTCTTATGTGGTTCATGCCCATCTGTTATTCCAGGTGATTTAGCTGTTGGTGCCTCCGAAGTATAAGGAGATGAAGGTGAACCTTTGAGAGAAAGAGTTGAGCTTAACACAAGTGTGGTTTTGCTTCCTGAATACTCTTGATCTAATTGTGCAATGGTAAGGGGCTTTTCTGACATATCTGTAACATAAGAACCTGTGGGTATCATTGTCTTTTCTGTGTAGACACTCTCAAATAGCTCTGCTGGAGGTTTTGTAGTTGTTTCTGTGCTGAACAGTGAGGAAGCGAGGGAAGACACTGTTGGCTTACTTGACATGTCAATTATAGAATCAGCAGACTTTGTTTCATCAGTTTTTGATGATGCTTTTAAAGAGGATGTTACTTCTGCCAAAGAGCTTGCATGTGGAAATGAAGATGCATCACTGACTAACGTGTTTGAGCTCATTGTGCTTGGACTTTCACTTTCTGAGCCCTCAAGTTCGCCAAGGGTTATGGTAGATAGTGAAGACATCACTGTCTCATCAGTAACAAGATCGTAGTCCTTCTCAATTGGTCCGGCTGTTGTCTTTTTGGTGCTGAACAATGAATAAGCTGTAGAAGATGCTGTGTCAATGGTAGATATCTCTATTGTCTGATCATCTAAGCTCTGTTGATAGGTTTTGGGAGAAGAAGAATCTTCTATTGCTGTTACAGGTATGTCCTCAGTCCTACCAGTGACTGAAGCTTGTTGTTTGTCAGAGGTTACTGACAAAATTTCCTCTGTGCTGTAAAGAGGTGATGCTGTGTAGACAGTTGCTTTTGACGTTTCACTTGATGAAGGTATGTGCGATGAAGACATCGTACTGAGTGTTGAATAAGCAGCAGTTGTGGTCATTGATGACTGATCCGTGGCACCATCAACACTGTGTTTTGAAGTCTCTGACTCTGAGGAGATTGAGATTGATGTGTTTGAAGGTTTAGTTGTTGAGCCAGTGAGGAATGAAGATGACTCCACAAGTGTAGAAGATGCACTAGTTGATCTTGTCAGTAGAGTTGGGGCTGTGCCATCAAAGACTGTGGATACTGATGGTTCCTTTTGAAGAGTCGGCAGTAGTGTCTTATGTGTTTCATGTCCATCTGTTATTCCAGGTGATTTAGCTGTTGGTGCCTCTGAAGTATAAGGAGATGAAGGTGACCCTTTGAGAGAAAGAGTTGAGCTCAACCCAAGTGTAGTTTTGCTTCCTGAATACTCTTGATCTAATTGTGCAATGGAAAGGGGCTTTTCTGGCATATCTGTAACATAAGAACCTGTGGGTATCATTGTCTTTTCTGTGTAGACACTCTCAAATAGCTCTGCTGGAGGTTTTGTAGTTGTTTCTGTGCTGAACAGTGAGGAAAAGAGGGAAGACAATGTTGGTTTCCTTGACATGGCAACTGTATAATCAGCAGACTTTGTTTCATCAGTTTTTGATGATGTTTTTGAAGAGGATGCTACTTCTGCCAAAGAGCTTGCATGTGGAAATGAAGATGCATCACTGACTGACGTGTATGACCTCATTGTGCTTGGACTTTCACTTCCTGAGCCCTCAAGTTCGCCAAGGGTTATGGTAGATTTGCCATCAATACTGGTGAAAGGAGATAGTGAAGACATCACTGTCTCATCAGTAACAAGATCGTAATCCTTCTCAATTGGTCCGGCCGTTGTCTTTTTTGTGCTGAACAATGAAGAAGCTGTAGAAGAAGCTGTGTCAATGGTAGATATCTCTATTGTCTGATCATCTAAGCTCTGTTGATATGTTTTGGGAGAAGAAGAATCTTCTATTGCTGTTACAGGTATGTCCTCAGTCCTACCAGTGACTGAAGCTTGTTGTTTGTCAGACGTTACTGACAAAATTTCCTCTGTGCTGTAAAGAGTTGATGCTGTGTAGACAGTTGGTTTTGACATTTCACTTAATGAAGGTATGTGCGATGAAGACATCGTACTGAGTGTTGAATAAGCAGTAGTTGTGGTCATTGATGACTGATCTGTGGCACCATCAACACTGTGTTTTGAAATCTCTGACTCTGAGGAGATTGAGATTGATGCGTTTGAAGGTTTAGTTGTTGAGCCAGTGAGGAATGAAGATGACTCCACAAGTGTAGAAGATGCACTAGTTGATCTTGTCAGTAGAGTTGGGGCTGTGCCATCAAAGACTGTGGATACTGATGGTTCCTTTTGAAGAGATGGCAGTAGTGTCTTATGTGGTTCATGCCCATGTGTTATTCCAGGTGATTTAGCTGTTGGTGCCTCCGAAGTATAAGGAGATGAAGGTGAACCTTTGAGAGAAAGAGTTGAGCTCAACACAAGTGTGGTTTTGCTTCCTGAATACTCTTGATCTAATTGTGCAATGGTAAGGGGCTTTTCTGACATATCTGTAACATAAGAACCTGTGGGTATCATTGTCTTTTCTGTGTAGACACTCTCAAATAGCTCTGCTGGAGGTTTTGTAGTTGTTTCTGTGCTAAACCGTGAGGAAGCGAGGGGAGATACTGTTGATTTACTTGACATGGCAATTATATAATCAGCAGACTTTGTTTCATCAGTTTTTGATGATGTTTTTGAGGAGGATGTTACTTCTGCAAAAGAGCTTGCATGTGGAAATGAAGATGCATCACTGACTGACGTGTTTGAGCTCATTGTGCTTGGACTTTCACTTTCTGAGCCCTCAAGTTCGCCAAGGGTTATGGTAGATTTGCCATCAACACTGGTTAAAGGAGATAGTGAAGACATCACTGTCTCATCAGTAACAAGATCGTAATCCTTCTCAATTGGTCCGGCCGTTGTCTTTTTGGTGCTGAACAATGAAGAAGCTGTAGAAGAAGCTGTGTCAATGGTAGATATCTCTATTGTCTGATCATCTAAGCTCTGTTGATATGTTTTGGGAGAAGAAGAATCTTCTATTGTTGTTACAGGTATGTCCTCAGTCCTACCAGTGACTGAAGCTTGTTGTTTGTCAGAAGTTACTGTCAAAATTTCCTCTGTGCTGTAAAGAGGTGATGCTGTGTAGACAGTTGCTTTTGACATTTCACTTGATGAAGGTATGTGCGATGAAGACATCGTACTGAGTGTTGAATAAGCAGTAGTTGTGGTCATTGATGACTGATCTGTGGCACCATCAACACTGTGTGTTGAAGTCTCTGACTCTGAGGAGATTGAGATAGATGCGTTTGAAGGTTTAATTGTTGAGCCAGTGAGGAATGAAGATGACTCCACAAGTGTAGAAGATGCACTAGTTGATCCTGTCAGTAGAGTTGGGGCTGTGCCATCAAAGACTGTGGATACTGATGGTTCCTTTTGAAGAGATGGCAGTAGTGTCTTATGTGGTTCATGCCCATCTGTTATTCCAGGTGATTTAGCTGTTGGTGCCTCCGAAGAATAAGGAGATGAAGGTGAACCTTTGAGAGAAAGAGTTGAGCTCAACACAAGTGTGGTTTTGCTTCCTGAATACTCTTGATCTAATTGTGCAATGGTAAGGGGCTTTTCTGACATATCTGTAACATAAGAACCTGTGGGTATCATTGTCTTTTCTGTGTAGACACTCTCAAATAGCTCTGCTGGAGGTTTTGTAGTTGTTTCTGTGCTAAACCGTGAGGAAGCGAGGGGAGATACTGTTGATTTACTTGACATGGCAATTATATAATCAGCAGACTTTGTTTCATCAGTTTTTGATGATGTTTTTGAGGAGGATGTTACTTCTGCAAAAGAGCTTGCATGTGGAAATGAAGATGCATCACTGACTGACGTGTTTGAGCTCATTGTGCTTGGACTTTCACTTTCTGAGCCCTCAAGTTCGCCAAGGGTTATGGTAGATTTGCCATCAACACTGGTTAAAGGAGATAGTGAAGACATCACTGTCTCATCAGTAACAAGATCGTAATCCTTCTCAATTGGTCCGGCCGTTGTCTTTTTGGTGCTGAACAATGAAGAAGCTGTAGAAGAAGCTGTGTCAATGGTAGATATCTCTATTGTCTGATCATCTAAGCTCTGTTGATATGTTTTGGGAGAAGAAGAATCTTCTATTGTTGTTACAGGTATGTCCTCAGTCCTACCAGTGACTGAAGCTTGTTGTTTGTCAGAAGTTACTGTCAAAATTTCCTCTGTGCTGTAAAGAGGTGATGCTGTGTAGACAGTTGCTTTTGACATTTCACTTGATGAAGGTATGTGCGATGAAGACATCGTACTGAGTGTTGAATAAGCAGTAGTTGTGGTCATTGATGACTGATCTGTGGCACCATCAACACTGTGTGTTGAAGTCTCTGACTCTGAGGAGATTGAGATAGATGCGTTTGAAGGTTTAATTGTTGAGCCAGTGAGGAATGAAGATGACTCCACAAGTGTAGAAGATGCACTAGTTGATCCTGTCAGTAGAGTTGGGGCTGTGCCATCAAAGACTGTGGATACTGATGGTTCCTTTTGAAGAGATGGCAGTAGTGTCTTATGTGGTTCATGCCCATCTGTTATTCCAGGTGATTTAGCTGTTGGTGCCTCCGAAGAATAAGGAGATGAAGGTGAACCTTTGAGAGAAAGAGTTGAGCTCAACACAAGTGTGGTTTTGCTTCCTGAATACTCTTGATCTAATTGTGCAATGGTAAGGGGCTTTTCTGACATATCTGTAACATAAGAACCTGTGGGTATCATTGTCTTTTCTGTGTAGACACTCTCAAATAGCTCTGCTGGAGGTTTTGTAGTTGTTTCTGTGCTGAACAGTGAGGAAGCGAGGGAAGACACTGTTGGTTTACTTGACATGGCAATTATATAATCAGCAGACTTTGTTTCATCAGTTTTTGATGATGTTTTTGAAGAGGATGTTACTTCTGCCAAAGAGCTTGCATGTGTAAATGAAGATGCATCACTGACTGACGTGTTTGAGCTCATTGTGCTTGGACTTTCACTTCCTGAGCCCTCAAGTTCGCCAAGGGTTATGGTAGATTTGCCATCAATGCTGGTGAAAGGAATTAGTGAAGAGATCACTGTCTCATCAGTAACAAGATCGTAATCCTTCTCAATTGGTCCGGCCGTTGTCTTTTTGGTGCTGAACAATGAAGAAGCTGTAGAAGAAGCTGTGTCAATGGTAGATATCTCTATTGACTGATCATCTAAGCTCTGTTGATATGTTTTGGGAGAAGAAGAATCTTCTATTGTTGTTACAGGTATGTCCTCAGTCCTACCAATGACTGAAGCTAGTTGTTTGTCAGAAGTTACTGTCAAAATTTCCTCTGTGCTGTAAAGAGGTGATGATGTGTAGACAGTTGCTTTTGACATTTCCCTTGATGAAGGTATGTGCGATGAAGACATTGTACTGAGTGTTGAATAAGCAGTAGTTGTGGTCATTGATGACTGATCTGTGGCACCATCAACACTGTGTTTTGAAGTCTCTGACTCTGAGGAGATTGAGATAGATGCGTTTGAAGGTTTAATTGTTGAGCCAGTTAGGAATGAAGATGACTCCACACGTGTAGAGGATGCACTAGTTGATCTTGTCAGTAGAGTTGGGGCTGTGCCATCAAAGACTGTGGATACTGATGGTTCCTTTTGAAGAGATGGCAGTAGTGTCTTATGTGGTTCATGCCCATGTGTTATTCCAGGTGATTTAGCTGTTGGTGCCTCCGAAGTATAAGGAGATGAAGGTGAACCTTTGAGAGAAAGAGTTGAGCTCAACACAAGTGTGGTTTTGCTTCCTGAATACTCTTGATCTAAGTGTGCAATGGTAAGGGGCTTTTCTGACATATCTGTAACATAAGAACCTGTGGGTATCATTGTCTTTTCTGTGTAGACACTGTCAAATAGCTCTGCTGAAGGTTTTGTAGTTGTTTCTGTGCTGAACAGTGAGGAAGCGAGGGAAGACACTGTTGGTTTACTTGACATGGCAATTATATAATCAGCAGACTTTGTTTCATCAGTTTTTGATGATGTTTTTGAAGAGGATGTTACTTCTGCCAAAGAGCTTGCATGTGTAAATGAAGATGCATCACTGACTGACGTGTTTGAGCTCATTGTGCTTGGACTTTCACTTTCTGAGCCCTCAAGTTCGCCAAGGGTTATGGTAGATTTGCCATCAACACTGGTTAAAGGAGATAGTGAAGACATCACTGTCTCATCAGTAACAAGATCGTAATCCTTTTCAATTGGTCCGGCCGTTGTCTTTTTGGTGCTGAACAATGAAGAAGCTGTAGAAGAAGCTGTGTCAATGGTAGATATCTCTATTGTCTGATCATCTAAGCTCTGTTGATTTGTTTTGGGAGAAGAAGAATCTTCTATTGTTGTTACAGGTATGTCCTCAGTCCTACCAGTGACTGAAGCTTGTTGTTTGTCAGAAGTTACTGTCAAAATTTCCTCTGTGCTGTAAAGAGGTGATGCTGTGTAGACAGTTGCTTTTGACATTTCACTTGATGAAGGTATGTGCGATGAAGACATCGTACTGAGTGTTGAATAAGCAGTAGTTGTGGTCATTGATGACTGATCTGTGGCACCATCAACACTGTGTTTTGAAGTCTCTGACTCTGAGGAGATTGAGATAGATGCGTTTGAAGGTTTAATTGTTGAGCCAGTTAGGAATGAAGATGACTCCACACGTGTAGAGGATGCACTAGTTGATCTTGTCAGTAGAGTTGGGGCTGTGCCATCAAAGACTGTGGATACTGATGGTTCCTTTTGAAGAGATGGCAGTAGTGTCTTATGTGGTTCATGCCCATGTGTTATTCCAGGTGATTTAGCTGTTGGTGCCTCCGAAGTATAAGGAGATGAAGGTGAACCTTTGAGAGAAAGAGTTGAGCTCAACACAAGTGTGGTTTTGCTTCCTGAATACTCTTGATCTAAGTGTGCAATGGTAAGGGGCTTTTCTGACATATCTGTAACATAAGAACCTGTGGGTATCATTGTCTTTTCTGTGTAGACACTGTCAAATAGCTCTGCTGAAGGTTTTGTAGTTGTTTCTGTGCTGAACAGTGAGGAAGCGAGGGAAGACACTGTTGGTTTACTTGACATGGCAATTATATAATCAGCAGACTTTGTTTCATCAGTTTTTGATGATGTTTTTGAAGAGGATGTTACTTCTGCCAAAGAGCTTGCATGTGTAAATGAAGATGCATCACTGACTGACGTGTTTGAGCTCATTGTGCTTGGACTTTCACTTTCTGAGCCCTCAAGTTCGCCAAGGGTTATGGTAGATTTGCCATCAACACTGGTTAAAGGAGATAGTGAAGACATCACTGTCTCATCAGTAACAAGATCGTAATCCTTTTCAATTGGTCCGGCCGTTGTCTTTTTGGTGCTGAACAATGAAGAAGCTGTAGAAGAAGCTGTGTCAATGGTAGATATCTCTATTGTCTGATCATCTAAGCTCTGTTGATTTGTTTTGGGAGAAGAAGAATCTTCTATTGTTGTTACAGGTATGTCCTCAGTCCTACCAGTGACTGAAGCTTGTTGTTTGTCAGAAGTTACTGTCAAAATTTCCTCTGTGCTGTAAAGAGGTGATGCTGTGTAGACAGTTGCTTTTGACATTTCACTTGATGAAGGTATGTGCGATGAAGACATCGTACTGAGTGTTGAATAAGCAGTAGTTGTGGTCATTGATGACTGATCTGTGGCACCATCAACACTGTGTTTTGAAGTCTCTGACTCTGAGGAGATTGAGATAGATGCGTTTGAAGGTTTAATTGTTGAGCCAGTGAGGAATGAAGACGACTCCACAAGTGTAGAAGATGCACTAGTTGATCCTGCCAGTAGAGTTGGGGCTGTGCCATCAAAGACTGTGGATACTGATGGTTCCTTTTGAAGAGATGGCAGTAGTGTCTTATGTGGTTCATGCCCATCTGTTATTCCAGGTGATTTAGCTGTTGGTGCCTCCGAAGTATAAGGAGATGAAGGTGAACCTTTGAGAGAAAGAGTTGAGCTCAACACAAGTGTGGTTTTGCTTCCTGAATACTCTTGATCTAATTGTGCAATGGTAAGGGGCTTTTCTGACATATCTGTAACATAAGAACCTGTGGGTATCATTGTCTTTTCTGTGTAGACACTCTCAAATATTTCTGCTGGAGGTTTTGTAGTTGTTACTGTGCTGAACAGTGAGGAAGCGAGGGAAGACACTGCTGGTTTTCTTGACATGGCAATTGTATAATCAGCAGACTTTGTTTCATCAGTTTTTGATGATGTTTTTGAAGAGGATGTTACTTCTGCCAAAGAGCTTGCATGTGGAAATGAAGATGCATCACTGACTGACATGTTTGAGCTCATTGTGCTTGGACTTTCACTTCCTGAGCCCTCAAGTTCGCCAAGGGTTATGGTAGATTTGCCATCAACACTGGTGAAAGGAGATAGTGAAGACATCACTGTCTCATCAGTAACAAGATCGTAATTCTTCTCACTTGGTCCGGCCGTTGTCTTTTTTGTGCTGAACAATGAAGAAGCTGTAGAAGAAGCTGTGTCAATGGTAGATATCTCTATTGTCTGATCATCTAAGCTCTGTTTATATGTTTTGGGAGAAGAAGAATCTTCTATTGTTGTTACAGGTATGTCCTCAGTCCTACCAGTGACTGAAGCTTGTTGTTTGTCAGAAGTTACTGTCAAAATTTCCTCTGTGCTGTAAAGAGGTGATGCTGTGTAGACAGTTGCTTTTGACATTTCACTTGATGAAGGTATGTGCGATGAAGACATCGTACTGAGTGTTGAATAAGCAGTAGTTGTGGTCATTGATGACTGATCTGTGGCACCATCAACACTGTGTTTTGAAGTCTCTGACTCTGAGGAGATTGAGATAGATGCGTTTGAAGGTTTAATTGTTGAGCCAGTGAGGAATGAAGATGACTCCACAAGTGTAGAAGATGCACTAGTTGATCCTATCAGTAGAGTTGGGGCTGTGCCATCAAAGACTGTGGATACTGATGGTTCCTTTTGAAGAGATGGCAGTAGTGTCTTATGTGGTTCATGCCCATCTGTTATTCCAGGTGATTTAGCTGTTGGTGCCTCCGAAGTATAAGGAGATGAAGGTGAACCTTTGAGAGAAAGAGTTGAGCTCAACACAAGTGTGGTTTTGCTTCCTGAATACTCTTGATCTAATTGTGCAATGGTAAGGGGCTTTTCTGACATATCTGTAACATAAGAACCTGTGGGTATCATTGTCTTTTCTGTGTAGACACTCTCAAATAGCTCTGTTGGAGGTTTTGTAGTTGTTTCTGTGCTGAACAGTGAGGAAGCGAGGGAAGACACGGTTGGTTTACTTGACATGGCAATTATATAATCAGCAGACTTTGTTTCATCAGTTTTTGATGATGTTTTTGAAGAGGATGTTACTTCTGCCAAAGAGCTTGCATGTGGAAATGAAGATGCATCACTGACTGACGTGTTTGAGCTCATTGTGCTTGGACTTTCACTTCCTGAGCCCTCAAGTTCGCCAAGGGTTATGGTAGATTTGCCATCAATACTGGTGAAAGGAGATAGTGAAGACATCACTGTCTCATCAGTAACAAGATCGTAATCCTTCTCAAATGGTCCGGCCGTTGTCTTTTTGGTGCTGAACAATGAAGAAGCTGTAGAAGAAGCTGTGTCAATGGTAGATATCTCTATTGTCTGATCATCTGAGCTCTGTTGATATGTTTTGGGAGAAGAAGAATCTTCTATTGTTGTTGCAGGTATGTCCTCAGTCCTACCAGTGACTGAAGCTTGTTGTTTGTCAGAAGTTACTGTCAAAATTTCCTCTGTGCTGTAAAGAGGTGATGCTGTGTAGACAGTTGCTTTTGACATTTCACTTGATGAAGGTATGTGCGATGAAGACATTGTACTGAGTGTTGAATAAGCAGTAGTTGTGGTCATTGATGACTGATCTGTGGCACCATCAACACTGTGTTTTGAAGTCTCTGACTCTGAGAAGATTGAGATAGATGCGTTTGAAGGTTTAATTGTTGAGCCAGTGAGGAATGAAGATGACTCTACACGTGTAGAAGATGCACTAGTTGATCTTGTCAGTAGAGTTGGGGCTGTGCCATCAAAGACTGTGGATACTGATGGTTCCTTTTGAAGAGATGGCAGTAGTGTCTTATGTGGTTCATGCCCATCTGTTATTCCAGGTAATTTAGCTGTTGGTGCCTCCGAAGTATAAGGAGATGAAGGTGAACCTTTGAGAGAAAGAGTTGAGCTCAACACAAGTGTGGTTTTGCTTCCTGAATACTCTTGATCTAATTGTGCAATGGTAAGGGGCTTTTCTGACATATCTGTAACATAAGAACCTGTGGGTATCATTGTCTTTTCTGTGTAGACACTCTCAAATAGCTCTGCTGGAGGTTTTGTAGTTGTTTCTGTGCTGAACAGTGAGGAAGCAAGGGGAGATACTGTTGGTTTACTTGACATGGCAATTATATAATCAGCAGACTTTGTTTCATTAGTTTTTGATGATGTTTTTGAAGAGGATGTTACTTCTGCCAAAGAGCTTGCATGTGGAAATGAAGATGCATCACTGACTGACGTGTTTGAGCTCATTGTGCTTGGACTTTCACTTCCTGAGCCCTCAAGTTCGCCAAGGGTTATGGTAGATTTGCCATCAACACTGGTGAAAGGAGATAGTGAAGACATCACTGTCTCATCAGTAACAAGATCGTAATCCTTCTCAATTGGTCCGGCCGTTGTCTTTTTTGTGCTGAACAATGAAGAAGCTGTAGAAGAAGCTGTGTCAATGGTAGATATCTCTAATGTCTGATCATCTAAGCTCTGCTGATATGTTTTGGGAGAAGAAGAATCTTCTATTGTTTTTACAGGTATGTCCTCAGTCCTACCAGTGACTGAAGCTTGTTTTTTGTCAGAAGTTACTGTCAAAATTTCCTCTGTGCTGTAAAGAGGTGATGCTGTGTAGACAGTTGCTTTTGACATTTCACTTGATGAAGGTATGTGCAATGAAGACATCGTACTGAGTGTTGAATGAGCAGTAGTTGTGGTCATTGATGACTGATCCGTGGCACCATCAACACTGTGTTTTGAAGTCTCTGACTCTGAGGAGATTGAGATTGATGCGTTTGAAGGTTTAGTTGTTGAGCCAGTGAGGAATGAAGATGACTCCACAAGTGTAGAAGATGCACTAGTTGATCTTGTCAGTAGAGTTGGGGCTGTGCCATCAAAGACTGTGGATACTGATGAATCCTTTGGAAGAGTCGGCTGTAGTGTCTTATTTGTTTCATGTCCATCTGTCATTCCAGGTAATTTAGCTGTTTGTGCCTCCGAAGTATAAGAAGATGAAGGCGAACCGTTGAGAGAAAGAGTTGAGCTTAACACAAATGTGGTTTTGCTTCCTGAATACTCTTGATCTAATTGTGCAATGGTAAGGGGCTTTTCTGACATATCTGTAACATAAGAACCTGTGGGTATCATTGTCTTTTCTGTGTAGACACTCTCAAATAGCTCTGCTGGAGGTTTTGTAGTTGTTACTGTGCTGAACAGTGAGGAAGCGAGGGAAGACACTGTTGGTTTTCTTGACATGGCAATTGTATAATTAGCAGACTTTGTTTCATCAGTTTTTGATGATGTTTTTGAAGAGGATGTTACTTCTGCCAAAGAGCTTGCATGTGGAAATGAAGATGCATCACTGACAGACGTGTTTGAGCTCATTGTGTTTGGACTTTCACTTCCTGAGCCCTCAATTTCTGCAAGGGTTATGGTAGATTTGCCATCAATAATGGTGAAAGGAGATAGTAAAGACATCACTGTCTCATCAGTAACAAGATCGTAATCCTTCTCAATTGGTCCGGCCGTTGTCTTTTTGGTGCTGAACAATGAAGAAGCTGTAGAAGAAGCTGTGTCAATGGTAGATATCTCTATTGTCTGATCATCTAAGCTCTGTTGATATGTTTTGGGAGAAGAAGAATCTTCTATTGTTGTTACAGGTATGTCCTCAGTCCTACCAGTGACTGAAGCTTGTTGTTTGTCAGGAGTTACTGTCAAAATTTCCTCTGTGCTGTAAAGAGGTGATGCTGTGTAGACAGTTGGTTTTGACATTTCACTTGATGAAGGTATGTGCGAAGAAGACATCGTACTGAGTGTTGAATGAGCAGTAGTTGTGGTCATTGATGACTGATCCGTGGTACCATCAACACTGTGTTTTGAAGTCTCTGACTCTGAGGAGATTGAGATTGATGCGTTTGAAGGTTTAGTTGTTGAGCCAGTGAGGAATGAAGATGACTCCACAAGTGTAGAAGATGCACTAGCTGATCCTGTCAGTAGAGTTGGGGCTGTGCCATCAAAGACTGTGGATACTGATGGTTCCTTTTGAAGAGATGGCAGTAGTGTCTTATGTGGTTCATGCCCATGTGTTATTCCAGGTGATTTAGCTGTTGGTGCCTCCGAAGTATAAGGAGATGAAGGTGAACCTTTGAGAGAAAGAGTTGAGCTCAACACAAGTGTGGTTTTGCTTCCTGAATACTCTTGATCTAATTGTGCAATGGTAAGGGGCTTTTCTGACATATCTGTAACATAAGAACCTGTGGGTATCATTGTCTTTTCTGTGTAGACACTCTCAAATATTTCTGCTGGAGGTTTTGTAGTTGTTACTGTGCTGAACAGTGAGGAAGCGAGGGAAGACACTGCTGGTTTTCTTGACATGGCAATTGTATAATCAGCAGACTTTGTTTCATCAGTTTTTGATGATGTTTTTGAAGAGGATGTTACTTCTGCCAAAGAGCTTGCATGTGGAAATGAAGATGCATCACTGACTGACGTGTTTGAGCTCATTGTGTTTGGACTTTCACTTCCTGAGCCCTCAAGTTCTGCAAGGGTTATGGTAGGTTTGCCATCAATACTGGTGAAAGGAGATAGTGAAGACATCACTGTCTCACCAGTAACAAGATCGTAATCCTTCTCAATTGGTCCGGCTGTTGTCTTTTTGGTGCTGAACAATGAAGAAGCTGTAGAAGAAGCTGTGTCAATGGTAGATATCTCTATTGTCTGATCATCTAAGCTGTGTTGATATGTTTTGGGAGAAGAAGAATCCTCTATTGCTGTTACAGGTATGTCCTCAGTCCTACCAGTGACTGAAGCTTGTTGTTTGTCAGAAGTTACTGTCAAAATTTCCTCTGTGCTGTAAAGAGGTGATGCTGTGTAGACAGTTGGTTTTGGCTTTTCACTTGATGAAGGTATGTGCGATGAAGACATCGTACTGAGTGTTGAATAAGCAGTATTTGTTGTCATTGATGACTGATCTGTGGCACCATCAACACTGTGTTTTGAAGTCTCTGACTCTGAGTAGATTGAGATAGATGCATTTGAAGGTTTAATTGTTGAGCCAGTGAGGAATGAAGATGACTCCACAAGTGTAGAAGATGCACTAGTTGATCTTGTCAGTAGAGTTGGGGCTGTGCCATCAAAGACTGTGGATCCTGATGGTTCCTTTTGAAGAGACGGCAGTAGTGTCTTATGTGTTTCATGTCCATCTGTTATTCCAGGTGATTTAGCTGTTGGTGCCTCCGAAGTATAAGGAGATGAAGGCGAACCTTTGAGAGAAAGAGTTGAGCTCAACACAAGTGTGGTTTTGCTTCCTGAATACTCTTGATCTATTTGTGCATTGGTAAGGGACTTTTCTGACATATCTGTAACATAAGAACTCGTGGGTGTCATTGTTTTTTCCGTGTAGACACTCTCAAAAAGCTCTGCTGGAAGTTTTGTCATTGTTTCTGTGCTGAACAGTGAGGAGGCGAGGGAAGACACTGTTGGTTTTCTTGACATGGCAATTGTATAATCAGCAGACTTTGTTTCATCAGTTTTTGATGATGTTTTTGAAGAGGATGTTACTTCTGCCAAAGAGCTTGCATGTGGAAATGAAGATGCATCACTGACTGACGTGGTTGAGCTCATTGTGCTTGGAGTTTCACTTCCAGAGCTATTTTGTTCTGCAAGGGTTATGGTAGATTTGCCTTCAATGCTTATTAAAGGAGATAGTGAAGACATTGCTGTCTGATGAGTAACAAGGTCGTAATCCTTCTCAATTGGTGCTGCTGTTCTCTTTTCAGCGATGAACAATGTCGAAGCTGTAGAAAATGCTCTGTTGTTGGTAGATGTCTCTATTGTCTGATCAGCCAAGCTGTGTTGATTTTCTAGTGGTGAAGCTTTAGTAACAGTTTTGAAATTCTCACCCGATTTAGCAATGTTTGATAAAGTGAGAGAGGACAATAGAGTAAAATCCCTAGGAAGTGTTGTAGTTGGTGTAATAACTGACAAATTCGCAGAATTGGTTACACTGTGTCCAAAAATTTCTGGTTTTGTTTTTATAGGCAGTGATCCTAAGTCACTTTCAGCAGATAAAGTTGAGACAAGTTTTTGGGCTGATATAGTTTCATCTGTTGTAGATTCTTCACTTGTAGTCACTGGTTTAACAGGTAATTCACCTGTTATCGATTGACTCTGAGACGAATGTTCACTAAAAAACTGAGTTATAGGTGCCATTGTAGTTTTAATCACTTCAAAAGCTTTATAGAAAGAATTTAGATTTGTTGTTTCAGATTGTTTCCTCTCTTGTGTTTTTGTGGTGAAGTTATCTGTTTTTGTGCCACCATTCTGAAGATCTGATGATTTATTTGTTCCTGCTAGTGATATTGTTGCTGTGGTTTCACTTTTCATTGAATCTTGATCAGATATATGTTTGGGGCTTATTGTTGAAAATATTTTTACTGTCTGTCCAGAGGTATTTAACAATAGGCTTGTTGTTGCCAATGTTGCTGTTTTGACTTCTGAATCATCCTCCTTAGATGAAGGTATTTTATCAGTAGTAACTTGGTCTGTAGGTGAGACTGAAGCACTTTGTATTTTGTGTGTTGTTGTTGTTGTAGGGCTTAGTTGTTCAGCTAGCGTTAACTTTAGAGCAGAGTCAGTGCCTTTTAAAACAACTGAGTCAGTTTTTTGTATCGCTGTTGATGAGGCTTTTTTCACCTCTGTAGATAACATCATTGAGGTAGAGTTGTTCTGCATAGGACCCTTTGTGATCAGTTTGTCGTCCTCAAAAGAATTTGTTGAATCAGAAAAAATATAGTGAACGTCATCTGGGACCTTTGTAGATGCCACTGTAGATGCATGTGTCTCTACAGATTTAAAGGAATAAGAATTATTATCAGACAAGTTATAAATAAACAACTTGGTTATTCCATCAGTGATTGCAGATCATGTCACATTCTTTCTTTAAACCGTGGGTACCTTTGGTGCTTTTTTCTTGTTCATGTGAAAATCTGGTCTCTGGAATGATGGTCACAAGAGCTTGAACAACGTGGTGTAAGTCTCCGTTTAACATGACAGGCTGTCCATCAGCTATGGAGGGGATGGGAAGGTCAGACACAAATGGCACTGTAGAGGATTGAGATACTTGTGTTGTTGAAGTCTGTTCAGCTGTTAAAAAGAAAAAAAATAAAGAAAACAAAAGAAAATTAAAGCTACGATGGTAAATTTGGTAAACAAATTAGCTTAAAATATGTTTTTCATTCCTCCTTACAACATTTTAACATTATATAGCTATTAATATATTGTGGAAATTTAAATAAATGTATAAGGTGGTTATTTCACATTTGTCTAAAAACCTTCGCCAATTACCCATTTTAAACCGAAAGCAACTATTGGATCAACTGGTTGTTGGTCTAGCCCAGCGTTTCTCACTTATTTTCTCTGAAGCCCCCACCCCCCACCCCTACCCCGGATATATATATATATATATATATATATATATATATATATATATATATATATATATATATATATATATATAACTTCTTACGGCCACACTCCTTTACATGGGGGTTAGGTGGGGTGAATTGATAACTGTCAAACAACTAGTTGCTCAGTGTTCCAACATCCACAAATGACAACTGCTATCACAACTTGAGATTGACAAGATCCAAAACAAATGCTACAGAAAGGGGGAGCCAGGACACAAGGTTAAAGGGGAGTTAACATCATCTCCCCATCCAGACATTTGGTACAAAGTCCCAATAAGTGATACAATGCTGAACAAGGCAGCAACTGACCTAAGATCATCATTCAAATGAACACCACGAAACCCTCACACCAACTAAAATAGCTGAGTGACGTACCATCAGAAATCCTTGAAAATGTGAATGCAGCATTGGCAACAATTCTTACAACCACCACCACCAAACCATTGAGCTAATATACATTTTCAGCAGCAGTGATCCTTGAGATGCTTGGCAATAGAAGCAAAAGCAACCATGAGAAACAATACCCATCATGGAAAAAGGGTTGGAGGCCAAAATCAAGGCAGCACATAGAGATTTGAGCCAACTGTCAGAGCTCTAGAAAGGTACAATGAGAAAAACAGTAGCCAAGAGCAACAGCCAGATACCCATTCCTGAATTACCTTAAACTGCTAAACACTGGCTCCAATGCTCTTCTCAACCCAACCAGCAAAAGTGTACTATCCGTGGCAGGGTAATAATAACAACAGAGCAGACCCACCAAGGCTGGATACTGAACAGTAATGGATGGACATTTGAGAGAAGGAGACATCACACAACAGCAATGCAATGTAGCTAGTAGGGCTGCTCGATTATGGCAAAAATAATAATCACGATTATGGTGACTGAAATTGAGATCACGATTATTTAGGACGATTTTTCAATTTATGTTGATTTTATTTGTTTTTATTCAGTCATAAAACTGCTCAGGGCACAATCAGGACAAAAATAAGAAACAAGATGATCACTAAAAGAACTCCTGATTCCCAGTATAGAAAGACCAATATACTTATAGCTCATAGTCTATGACCCAAGGGCTATAGACCTTGAGTCTAACCAGTACAGAACCAAATACCAATATCTTGCAAATACTGACAGCAAGAATTATACAGTGGCATTTATAACAAATAAATGCAAATAAATTGATGTTCACAAAATGTTGCATAACATTTATTGAGTCGTGTCAAGGTGCTGTAGGACTGTGTCCTCAGAGAGATTAGTTATCAGCGTGAGGAACTTATTTCTACCTTATTTATAAACTATTTATTTACAGGCCCATCAGTTAATGTAATAATTGTCCCGACCACAGCTGCACCCCCCACCCCCCACCCCGGTCTCACAGCAATCGGGGCAAGCTGCACGTGTGTTTAGCACGCTGCACGCGCACATTTAGCTGTTTTTAGCTGCTCAGGAGTCCGCAGGTACGGTGTGTGTGTCACTCACTCTGGTTAATCCAACAAGGAGCCGGCTCCGAGAGCTGTTTCTTTAGCGACCGACGCATCACTACATCATTCCCTTTCCTAATGTTGTGAAGAACGGTCCGGAGCACAGGCGGAGTGTTTAGCTAACCTGCAGGAAATGTCGACGACAGTTATCCAGAAAGTAGCTAAGGGTCACCAGAGATGTTTCTCAGGTGTTCGCTACTAGGTACTTTTAGGATTAAAAAGTCAAGAAGGGGGTCTGAAAAGCTGCTAGAAATAGCGTCAAAGTCGCTAAATTAGCAACACTGTGGAGGAGCGCTTCATTTGCAACTCAGGGCAGCGCAAGCGGGAGGAGCAAATAATCGGCTTGTTATGTTTTTTATAATCGTTCAAAACTCAGATCGTAATCGTGATTAAAATTCGATTAATTGAGCAGCCCTAGTAGCTAGCCTCTCAAGGAGAAGACCACATCAACCTCATTGAGCAGAACCCAGTATCCATCACTGCACAGCACCGGGACCCGACATAATCCAGGCCTACTGGCTTAAGAAGCTCACTGCACCCCATGAGCAAGGCCGAATAGTCACCCAAGACTTCAAAGCCCAACACACCAACCTGTGCATGGCCTGGATTGATTACAAGAAAACCTATGACTCAGTGCCGCACTGATGGCTTATGGAGTGCTTGAAGCTGTACAACATCAACAGGAGTCTGACAGTCTTCATTGCAAACTCAATGGGGCTGTGGAAAACCCCCTTTGGTATGCAGGCCATTTGCCCAAGTCTCCAGTAAATGTGGTAAATACCAAGGAGACGCTCTGTCCCCACTGCTGTTCTGAATATGTCTGAACCCCCTCAATCAGCCAGACTGGCTATGGATACAGACTCAAGAATGGAACCACAATCAACCACCTCCTCTACATGGATGGCATAAAGCTGTATGCCAACAGAAAGCGAGAAATCGGCTCACTGATCTACCCCACCAGGATCTACAGCACTGATATTGGAATTTCATATGGACTTAAGAAGTGTGGTCAGATGGTGTCAAAGAAAGGGAAGGAAGTCTACACAGAAGGGGTCTCACTCCCAGTAGGAACAATAACAGACATTGAGGACAGCTACAAGTAACTTGGTACCCCACAAGCAAATGGAAACCTTGATGAGACTACAAGGAAAAGAACCACAGCCAAATGCCTACAAAGAGTAAGTCAAGTCCTAAGAAGTCAGCTCAATGGCAAAAACTAGATCGGGACAATAAACAGCTACACCCTACTAGTAATCAGGTATCCTGCAGGAATAATACGCTGGCCAAAGGAAGAAATACAAGCCACAGATGTTAAGATGAAGAAGACACCTTCAAGCTAGACTGAAAGTTGAATCAGCCAACATGGACAAGCCAAAAGGCTTCAGCACAAAGGTTGTATGGTTAGACAAAATAAAGATCAAGCTATTGGGTCACAGGAGTGCATCAAGCATGGTGATAATAGCATCATGCTGTGGTTCATGTGCATTGCATAAAGTGGACAGGAAAACAACTAAAGTGAACTGCCACAGAATAAAGTAAAGCATTAAACTTCTCAAAAGGCTGACCAAAGCACCGACTCAATGTTGTTAAAAGTTGAAAATTATGTTTATAAACTGGGCTTTTGTCAGGAAATAAAAACTACCTTAAAAGATATCTACCAATACTGTTGAGTATGTGTAATAAAAGCACTTGTGGTTAACGTGCATTCTGAAAAGGGATGTTCATATATATATATCTAAGTTTATTAAATAATATATAGAGACGTTAGTTGTAATATGGCCTTTAAAAGTCCTCTTGCTTAATTGATAAAGATCAATAACAACTATTATGGAATAATTAGCGTTGGTGAATAAAAATAATAGATAGTGTGCTTATCTCAACACCAAAACATCTACAGTTCTTGTGTGAGTTCTCAGAAAGAAAGAAAAAATCATTGAAGCAAAAATGGCATAACATTGGAAATAAATCTCTTTGCAAAGAGTCTTTGGCTTACATAGTGTGTGAATTCAATCCAAGCCATAATTCAGAGATTTCTTTTGTATTTATACTCATTTGAAAGGAAAACATTTTCAAAAGGCTAACTGAGTGCAGACAACTTTTTGAATGAAGATGAAAAGTACTAATATTATAAGTACAAGAAATTGAATGGGAAGGACAATCTAATTCGCAAACCAGATTGCAAGCTGATCAGAGAACTTTTGTTTTTCTGTTTGTCAAAATCATGCCCAGCATATATGTCCAATAATACAATTCAGTTTATTTATATAGCGCCAAATTACAACAAAAATCGTCTCAAGGCACTTCACAAAGTAAACATTCTAATTGAACCTACAAATCAGTGCATTGAATTTATTATGCCAATTAGTTAAACGTTTCCCATGTTAAAAAAAACTCAGCAGATTGCATCAAATAACTGACTAGTGTCAGAGACTTTACAGCAATCCTCATACTTAGCAAGCATGTAGCGACAGTGGAGAGAAAAACTCTCTTTTAACAGAAGCTTCCAACAGAACCTGGCTCAGTATGAGCAGCCACCTGTCACGACTCACTGGGGGTTTTGAGAAAACAGAGCACACACACACACACACACACACACACACACACACACACACACACACACACACACACACACACACACACACAAAATATCAGCCCTTCCATACACAAATATTTGCTGTGGTCTATGAATGAATGCCTTTTGAGCAGTTTTTTTCACCTCTGATTGATTGATTGCTGGTAGCCAATCAATCAACCAATCAATCAATCAATCAATCAAACTTTAATTATAAAGCACTTGTCAAGCAAACAAATGTAACTAAATGTTTTACAGATTAAAAAAGTACCCACATATCTCACAAATTTCACTGAAAATTAACACCCCCCCCCCCCCCCCCCCAACCCAGTGGCACGCACACGAACACACACATACCCTCAGGCACACAAAACACACTTGAGAACATAAGTAAACACTGGGCTGAGTTCAGATGAGTCAGTTATGTACAGAAATCTAAGAAAACACCATCAGGGGAGCTGTCTGACCCAACAGCAGCAGATCCATGGCAGCAGCCAGGGCACTGCCACAGGGCACCCGAGGGGGGGGCAAGGGTAAGGGCCACGACCTACACCCAAGCACCACCTGGAGAGCACCCAGGCCAGTGCCACCGACCACCAGACCTAAGGCAGAGGGCTCCCGCAG